GAGTTAATTGTATCATTCATGCGTAATAGAGTTTGTATCCGTTCATCTGGATATCAGATATCCGTTTATAGCTAATTTATCCAGATTTAATCCGTCCATCCGGATATCCGATTTTTGTGTTATCCGTTTATCCGGATATCCAATTATTTTTGCAGGCTAAATCAAGCCAAATTTATAATTCCGACCAGGATTATACCTTGGTAAGATGGTTATTTCCATTTTTATTAGCGATAGCCGTTCCATAAAAATTACTTTTCTAAAAATCGAAATTTTCCTTTTTATGAGGTTGTGTAGCATATATTTCTAAAAAAGGAAATAATTTAGCATAATTCCGGCCGGCATTATAAAATTGGTCCAAGTTACTCTTAGCGGATAATATCCGTATATCCGGAATTCTGCATGCATCCGTTCAATCTTGATATTCGAATATCCGCGGATATAACGGATAACTCTAATGCGTAATATAAAAAATATTGTACGGTACAGGCGATAAATAGTGTGATGATTAATGTAAAAACCCAAATAAAGAATGGTCAATCCCGTTATTGAATTTCTAAATCACGTGAGTCACGTGAACCAACCAAAGAACTTACCAGTTAACAAAATAACGAAACAAACTGTAAAAAGAGAAGATTACGTAATTTGAAATTTACACACAAGATTTGTATATTTATTATTGCAGAATATAAGTGAACAAACTAATGAGAATTTCTGTTATAACTTGATTTATATCAATGAATCTTCTAAAGTTGATTTTTAGACAAATTAGTAGTTGGTGCTTCAAATCAAGCGATATATAACATTCGAATTAATTATACAAAAAATAATCCACTGTTGACTAATAAGAAACCATGGCTTAAAGTTAAACAAGTCACATGCGTGTCCTACTACATCATAACCCTATACAGTATCGTTGTCATACTTTATATTGTTTCTGTTATATTACAAAAATTATAAAATAAATACTGAAAAAAGATTTGCAAATTTATTTATAAACAGAATAATTCTACATGTCACAGAATTAGTACTTAATAAATTCTAATTTTTTTTATAAAAAAGGTACGATCAAAAATTAAATTTTTTTCTGATATAAAATTTTATAAAAATATACATATATTTTTTTTTATTACGCAAAAAAATTCAAAAATTATGAACAATCAAAACTGCGCCATATACCAAATCACGCGTACACTGAATCACGTGCCTAAGCTTTTTTTGACGTGGAAGATAAATTGTAATACCTACGCAACATATGCTGCGTTGTATTCCGTTGTTACTACTACACCATAGCACTTATTTGAGAAATAGTTGTTGGAGTAGATATAATAAAAACATGTTCGTAGCTCTGGAAGTTTAGATAATTCAAAAATGGTACTTTAGAATTTATGCATGAGGTATAACTTAATTATTAATTATTCTGATGTTTTATAATTAAGATAATCTTGCTAATATATATTTAATATAGATTACATAGTACATAATAAAGGGAAAATAAACAATGCTTTTATTATTGGATTTTATAGAATAACTCAGGATTCAGAAACAAAAAATTATATGATAGTTTTAAATTATGCGAGAAATGGAAGTTTACGAAATTATTTAGATAAAGAATATAACAAATTAAATTGGAATAGAAAGATCGATTATATTTATGATATTATAATTGGAACGTATTCATGAAAGGAATTAATTCATTGAGATTTACATATTGGAAATATATTAAAGCTTAAATATGATACTGCTATAACTGATATGGGATTATGTAAACTCGCAAATTATATTGAATCAGAAAATAACATATTGTGTTTACCTTATATAGCTTCTAAAATTTTAAGAGGATAAAATTATACAAAGGCTGCCGATATTTATAGTTTTGGCATAATTATGTATGAAGTAATTTCTGGACTACTCTCATACATTTAAGCCATGATAAAAATTTAGTAATAAGAATATGTCAAGGGCTCAACTCAATTAATTGTATATTTCTTAAGAGATATTTAGATGCAAATCCACTAAATCGACCGATAGCAAGAGAAGTTAAAGATGCTATAAACAAATGGAGATATGAACCAGTAGAATTGCAACCACAAAATTAAAGAAACAGAAATAAACAATTCATTAAATAACATCATTCCATCGACTAGTTTAGGATTATCATACAAAACATATTCGGAAGCAAGTACTGTAGATTGCTCGATTTTAAGAACCTTCTTGAACCAAAAAATTGTTGATTAATGATAATATAATAAGCACGAAATTTTCAGGTATTAATAATAATTTCATAATGAAAACAATTCTTAAAGATACTAATAAAATTTTTAATTAATTAAATGGAAACTTTATAATTTATTATTTCTCAATTAAATACTAATTAAGATGTAATTTACACGATTAATAATTAATATTGATTTTTCTATGATTTAATATTAATTTATTTGTATTTTTTAATGTTCAAATATCAAATTTAATAATACAAAAAACAGGTTGAACAAAAATCATAATTCAAAGGTAATTAACAACTAAACTTTAGTTGACGTTGCCGATATTGTTGTGATATTTATAGTATAATATTCTTGATATATCGTGAATTACGCTAAACAATTTAAATTTTATTGTATTTTTAAATTATTTACTTGATTAACTTGATTATTTAATATTTTTGATATAATGAATATTGTTGATTTCGTTGTATATAATTTCCGACCTGACATAAAAGTTAAAACTAGTTAATATAAATGTAAAAAAATTAACTCTTACAAATAAAACAAGTAACACTTCAACAATGTTGTTATTTGAAATATCTTAACTAATGTGTTAATCCAAAATCTTTTTTATACTTGTGTAATAAAAAACGACTTTGCTAATTATTTCAATTTTAATTAAATAAACGTGCTTGTTTAACCCAATTTAGAGCTATCCAGAATCAATATCACAATTTAATCTAATTTATTAAATTTATAAAACATGTTATAAACGTTATAAACGTTATCTCCTTACCTAAACTTATTCAAATTGACCTTTAACATAAAAATTCTTGTTCATTTTTACGTAAATACAATATAAAAATTTCAATTTCTCTGATAATTTGTTAAGAGAAAAAAATTTTATATTGTTAATATAATATTTACTTATTTGAAAATAAAATAAAATTGAATTGTATGTTTAGATTATCAGCAGATAAATATCATTCGACATTTATAATCTATATAATTAAAATATTTAGATTACCATGTATAAATTAATTTGAATTGTGTAATGTGTAACAAATCGTTCTCTATAAGTTAGAATATTATTTAAAATCACTCTTGATAAAAGAAGGAGTTTGATTAGACAAATTAATTCTTTTTAAATTAAGAATACTATAAAAAAATTAAAAGATAAATTCCAATCAAATTTTGTTGAATTCATTTTCTAATAAAAAAAATATATATATATATATTTATATATGATATAATTCAGAAAAATAATGAGTGATTATCTTAAATGTATGAATTTGTCTTCTAGTATGTTTTGTTATTCTTTTCCTGCAATATGTATAATATGGTTTAAAAGCTATATACGCATTATTTTTAATTATCTTGAATAACCTAATAAAAAATCATCAAATTTTCTAATTAATTAATTTAAAAATCATTAATTTCGACGTCACAAACAAAATTCTATAATAAATTTATAAATTTTGAAATATCATCACTCGCTCCACCTCATAATAATTTCCATTTTGTCATTAATAAAAACATTACATCCTACTGATTCATATATGAATAATAAAATCTAAATTCATTTTTTTTACTCTTTCTCCTTTTTATTTAAAATTTTAACCATGTTCGGTAAAAAAAAATAATCATTTTTTATTTTCTTTTTTTACGAAGTTGATTACTTACATACTAAAAAATTGTCATATTTTAGACAATTACTTACATACGGAATGATTCACCGATGGAATACCGTGTCTATACATGTTATTCAGAAGAAAAGAATAAATGAGTTTATTTTCATCTCACGTATTCATGAACTATTCATGATAATACAACGATTATCATAATCTTGATGAATTTAATAAGTACCGTAATGTAAGTTAGTTAACATTTAGTTATTTGTATGTAAAAGATTTCCATCTTAATATATTCTATAGTTATGATAGTTCTTAAATTCTGCTTGTAACATTAAAAGAAGACTCTTATTTATAAAATAAGACGGCTTATACGCCGTATAAATAAGTGTGTACTCCAATGTTATAAATATGACCATAAACTTAACAGGTACTATCAGGATATCTTATCCCAATACGATATTTCTTAGGATATCTAAAGTTTTCCTGTCTCTTGATCATATGTCAATTACTCAGGATGAATTTCGTAGATTGTCCCAGATAGTCTATTAACCAGTAATTAACCTCCACCCAATTCCCAAATTTCGATCACCTCGGATTGCTCGGAATAATCTAACACGCATACGACCTATCCTGTCTTTTATTCTTAACAGTGATAAGGCCAGTTGTTCTATCATATGTATGCCCATATTTGGTGGGATTACATAACGGTATGTACTGCGTGGGATTAGCTACTGTCTTGCGCCTGTTGTTCCTTCCTCCGGTCGACATAACACCCTCAAAATAAATTTTTTCGGAAGGGGTAATCCAATTCAATTAATCCGATTGAGGCTTTGCATGTTTAGTCTTGTCACTGGAGGTTTAAATTTCTTTTTAGGCCGATTTGAAACTTCTTGCATTTCTTCTTCAGATTCATATGAATCGGAAAAATTCCCACATTTTTCGCTAATTAGCAAGGGAACCATTTCATTTATTATAATAAAAAACAAAGTATATATAAATTTGGATCGGAAAATAATCTTGATTAAACAATCCTTCAACTCTTTTAAGTCTAATTGAAAGAGTTTGTATGCCGTACCAGTTAGCTATATTTGTATATAAAGAATAACTCACAGAGACATACAGCAGAATGAAAAGATTACATCCTTTATTGTTAGAATAAGAAACTTGCAAAATATTTTTGCGATAATTACACGTATATCTCTATAAAATATAAAAATACATTGACTTTTAAAAATTAATAATCTCTATTTATATTCTTAATAGGCTGATATATTTTTGGCATTTCAACATTTTTTCCAATAAAATTATCAATCCTATTATTAACCGAATGAGGAAATGGGATTTCAGGTAGTCTAGATACCGCATCAAGTCTTGCCATTTGCTCAGACGTCAGTCTAATAATAAATAAATAAATAAATAAAATTAATAAACCAAAAAAAAAAGCAAACCACTTTTTTTAATAACATGACACTTACTTGAATTCAAGAGCTTTAATATTTTCTTCAAGTTGAGCAACAGTTGTAGAACCAATTAGAGGAGAAGTAATTCCAGGTTTTTGTTTAATCCAATTCAAAGTAACCTTAAATAAAAAAAACAATATTTTTTTTTATATCAATTAAAAAAAGAATTACTTTATATAAATTATAAATAATTACTTGAGCAGGAGTTCTATTAATCTCCTTTGAAATGGCAATAACTTCATCTAAAATTTCCCAATTTTTTTCATTTTTCGCAGTATCCGCAATTACTCGACCGCGATATCCTGATTTTGGATCAGGAAGTGTTTCTTTCGTATATTTTCCTGAAAGAAACCTATTTTATAAAAATATTATTATATTGCAATGTAATTTGTTAAGGTATAAATGATCAATTACCCCTCTGCGATGGATCCCCATGGTATAATCCCAACCTAAAATATTTTTTCAAAAAAAAAAAATAAAATAAAAATAAATAAAAATATCGATTAATTTACTTAATATAATACAAATATACAATGTATAAAGGTATAATAGGTATAATAATACATACACCAAGTTCAGCACAAGCGGGTTGTAAATCAAATTCCAACCAACGATTCAACAAATTATAACGCGTTTGAAGTCCAATGAAAGGACTAAACACAGTTGATATATATGTGTGAAATTATATTATAAATTTGTTAATTATTTATAATTTCGTACCTCCATCCGCGTAAATTGGCAATAGTATTACTACAAGCGAGTGCCCAAGATGGAATATTACTTGCTGCAACATACAAAGCCTATTCGTCCAAATTTATTTTTTTTTAATAAATCAATTTAATTATTTTTCAAATAAAATAAAAGGATTTACTTACTTTCCCACTCCGAACGACATCATCCAATGATCTCATCATTTCTTCAATTGGAGTTCTATATTCATGGTAATGAGTATACAAAATATCAACATAACCCATATTCAATCGTTTCAAACTTTCATCTAGATTTTCCACGAGACTTTTTCTATGATTTCCTCCTAAAAAAATATATATATATATATTGATTTTTTTATAATCAGTTAATATAGAAGGTTAATAATTTGTGTATGTATAAATTAGATTACCGGCATTCGGATTGTATCTCATGCCTTCATACATTTCGGTTTTATTTACTATAAACGAATTTTTTTAATTTAAATGTACAGTAAAAAAAAAAAATTTCAAATTAGATTTAGCACGATTCATACATGTATATTTTGTGGCAATCACGACTTCAGATCTTTTATCGGCAACATAACCTCCAAGGAAACGTTCACACTAAATTATTTTAAATGATTTTATTATTAAGATCAACGACTTTTTGAAAAATATTTACTTTTTTATTACTTACTTGACCATTATTGTAAATATTTGCAGTATCTAAAAAAAATAATAATAATAATAATAAATAAATAAACGAAATTAAATTAAAATATCAAAGATTAAGTGAAATAACTACAATAACTACGTAAAAAAGTTACCAAAAAAATTTCCTCCTTTTTCATAATAATGATCGAAAATTTTCTTCGAATTCTCATAATCACTATCTTTATCAAATCCCTGATAAATATAAGTGTACATAATATTTTGAATTCAAATTAATATTTCTTAAATTATTATTTCAATAAATCTTTTTAAGATAGTGATCTTACCAAAGCACCAAGACATAATGGAGAAATTCTTAACCCACTACGACCTAATAAAACATAATCATCAAGAGCTCCAATGGTTTCAGTGGACGAAGAAGTATCCTGAGCCATTTTCTTTTTTTTTTTTAAAAAAAAAAAACCCTCTATTGATATGAGCTTATAAATATAGTTTTTTCAGAGTTTCCCGAGCTAAACTTTAAAAGGTTAAATTTATTGATGTACATTGTACAAGATCCACGGATAAAAAAATATCCGTCTCGATTCGCTATCCGGGTATTTAATAAATCCACCAAAAACATTATTACAATTAATCAATTAATCGTAATTCTTAATTTTAATTTTTTTTTAGAATTTTGAATTTTTAGGATAAAATTAGACTACTACAATCATAGAATTTTTCAATTATGGGAAAACTTACATAAACATTTTAAAGCATGTGATAATTTCAAAACTTTTTCTAATTAAAGAAAAATTCAAGTCCTTAACAAATAAAACGAGTTTTTATTCAAGATTTTAACATAAAAAGATTTAAATATAAATTTAACTCCTTAAAAATTACGTCAATTCGTTAATTTGACGAACAATCATTTTTTTTTTTTTTTTATGTATTACCCGATATATTAATCACACAATTGCTTAATATAGGAAAGTTACTATATTACATAAACGTTATTTCCCAATTAAAGTCACAATTTAATGTATTCATAAAAGGAAATTGTGTAAATAAAAAAAAATTTTTTTTCCCAATCTCTTTCTTTTTTTTTAATAATTTTTTTTCTAATATATAATATTATTTGTAAAACTGTTCTTTCTACTCATAATAAAGTTAAATTTAAGAGCGAACTTAACAAACTAATGATTAAATTACTCAACTAATATAATTCACACGAAGTGTATCTAAATCTTCCATTACAACCAACCTATTATAAACGAATTCAATATGACAAAACCACAGTCCTCAATATATATAAAAAAAACTTTAGAAGATTCAACTACATAAGAAATAATATAACTATATTAAATACATAATAATATTAAATAATTTAAAGCAATCATCTACATGCAATAATATAACTATAATACATAATAATATTATACCGACGCAATTTAAAGAACTATCAACGACTACGCGTAATTAAAATTACCGAAAAAGACGTTATTTTACGAAGTTTTCACGAAGACCTTCTTTGCTGGTTAAATAATTTAAAAGCAATCTTTATTGGATAATGGATGGAACGTTCAAACACTTCCAAATTCCAATCATATTTAAACAGTTATATACTCACATGAGTTATGTATGCCTCTTGTTTACGCATTAATAACTAGCAAGTCTAAGGACAGGATTTATTGATTCTATTCATAATATTTTGAAATCACAATTTGTTTTAACAGATTTTGAAAAATCTTCTATTGATACTATTCAGCTTTTACTTTAATATATGAAGCAATTCAAAATAAAAATCTTTTCTTTTAGTTGAAATTACTATATGTAAATCATTCAAAACAAAGGACTATTATATCTATTATCAGTAAATACATACTTCTGATCTTATTACTTAGTATAACATAGATGAAAATTTTAGTTTATTAATTCGACACATTCCTGCTTTTGGATTTTTTCTGCCTGGTGACGTTTCTATTAATTGAAGACTAATATGCCAATAGAAAGAAGCAAATGTAATTATGGAATGGTCTGAAGATTATTATGTTCATGATAGAGTAATGATATACATCAAGAAGTGAAAAGTAATATGATCTCACTAATATTTCCACCTTCACTTTGGTCAGTCACCGATAATATTGAACTCAAAATTCAGTAGAAGGTGTGAGACATTATTAGGTAGTGCATAATCATAATCGATGAGAAGAGTATGGTTGGAAGAAGAATGCTCATGCGGTTACGACAAGCCTTTCCCGAGAATAAGAACGAACCATTCGGTGGCAGATTTATATTTTTTCAGCAACTTCGAACAAAGTGTATTTAAAATTATAAAGGAAATCCAAAAAGAATAAATCAAATAGATCCAACTTGAAATAGCGAAGTTTACTAGAAAAAAGACCATGAGCGTGAATCCCAAATTCAAACGATGTGTAATTGACTTCCTTCGCGAAATTGCACATAATATGTCTTTTTAAATAATCTTAATTCCTTTTTTATATTATGGATTAAAATAGTGGTGGTTAATATTGTATAGAAGTGTCAAGAAAATGGATAAATGCGAAATTGTGTAATTATATTTAGTATCAAGCATAACTTTATATCTGAAAGTTTACGTAAACAGAAAATTTATATCTTTCTTTTATATCTCATTGTAGTTAAAGATTTATTTATATTTTCAATACTGTTGTATTAATATTTATTTAATTTTACATATACAATTGCAATTTAATTATTATATACTTGTTCATTTGTCCAATTGTCTTTATAAAATATTTTACACTTGATTCTGTATTAAAATTGAAATATTCATTTTGTCATTTTGATTGTTGATAAAATGTACTTGTTGATAAATATATTTGTTAATACTATTACAAGACTTTGCAAATAGATCATAGTCAGTTATAAATATGTGACATAATGTTTAATGTTATAAAGTGAGTGGAAAGAAATAATTTGATGCCTATATATTTTTTATAGCATTGCTCACTTCTTTATGTATCTGAAAAACTGATTAAAATTTCCCACAATTCAGGATACTCCGGCCAAAACTAATACGATTTTGTCCTATAATAATGACACATAAAATACAGACTAATAAAAATCTTTTTTGTCAATTTTTTTGTATAGCCATTATTTAGGGTTTTTATTCTTTTATGGATGTTGATTGATTAATCATGACCGCATGACGACTCTTTATTCAAAATGAATTAATACGTACGGTATCAAATAGAAATGTGACTTCGTGATAATTATTCATGAGTCATAATATTACGAAACATAAGTTTTAAATAGTTGTAATAACTAAAAGCGAGGATAAAAAAATGGTAATAACCATTTAATAGTGATCATATACATCTAATGGTGGTTCATGTTGGTTGTTCTGATATATATAGGCGCTTAGACTTTTGCATTTTGAAAACAAATCTTGGACGAAATTAAAATAAAATGAAGGAGCTCATCGACTTCTTGCAGCAGAAGGAGGACGACTTGGAACTTGAGAAGGAGGACTTGGAAATTGTTCGCAAGAAAAGGATTAATGGCTGTGGCTTTTTAAGGATAACTGAAAAAAAGCTTGAAAAATGGGTATGTCTGGTGGTCCAGCGGCTAGACTTGCCTACTTTTCCAAGGAATATAAGAAGAGAAAGTTGTGCTCGTTCTCCTTGTACAAGACCCAGAAAGACTTGAATGAGATGCTTGAGAAATATGGAATCGTTACCCTATAAAAAATTTTTATCCGAATATTTCCATTATTTCTCCGTGTCTTCCGTAAAAATTCCGTGAAAATGATACATTCACGGATATCCATGTTAGCAAGATGAAAATTTCCATGATTTAAGGCTATAAATTCCATGAAAATGATACATTTACTGAAAAAACATGGAAAGATAAAACACGGATCAGATTTTTTACAGGGTTAGCGGTGATATAGCTCGCATTCCACAGTTCATACCACGTAAGTAATCACATGTCATGTTCTTTATTGAAATATTTCAAACTCACTTATAAAGGATTACAGCTATCCAACCAATCGACGAAAATGCCCCGCAATTTGAGCTTTGCATTAACGATATTCTTCGCAGGATAAGAAATATGGGACCGGTTATAGATAGTAATGAGGCTATACGTTGTGAGTATATTTCTACAATCTTGCACACGGCAGTAAGTCTTCTCGAGGATTTGATGATCACACCTCAGGCAAATATAAACACAGGTCGTGTTGATTATGCAATCAAAAAAATTATCAATGAAATTTTGGAGGAGATAATTTGCATAACCGAGAGCAAACCATTTCAGACGACTTTGAGTGTTTGCCAAAATTTACTGCAGTGTCAAAGTGCGTGTGATGTAAGTATAACAATTTGTTCTACTCCATTGCTCGTTAAGGTTGATCATGGGTATTGCTAACTTGCTTCGCTACCCCAGATGAACATAAAAATGAACAAGAAAAAGCGAAAGGCAAGTGATGTGTTCAATCCTGATTACGAATATGTCTATGGTATAGTCAGTACTGGGACTGACTGGTACTTCACTCTTCATAGCACTGAGGGCATATATAGTACAAGCAGGACCGAATATCGAATTTCATTGACAGAAAATACTCTTAAGGACTCAACCGAGTTGCGCAAAAATGTAAAGAGGATTTTGGAGGTTATTGTGGGCTTGTTAATGGATAGGGCATCAGTTAGTAGAGAACCTGCAACTAAGAAGCGTCACGTGGAGGAAATAACAAATGTATTATAATAAATGTATATTTTTTATCTTTGTATTACAGTAAGGCTGGTTGAATTTATCTTCTTGAATTACTTAAATTTTGATAAAGATGAATCTCGCCTAACTGATGATATAAGTGGGTTAAGTACTATATGCAGGAAAATTTTCTCTGATGATATATATTTGACTTGAGTTAATCATGGTCAACTATATTTTGCATGAATCATTACGTGTATCAGTCTATTAGGATACTGATATTTATATTTTTATGATCTTGTTTGGCGTAATTGAATTTAGTTACCGGTATTTTAAATTTCGATATAATTTGATATCGGAACTCATAATCATGATAATCAGTTTTTATTTTTTTTTTTAAGTTAGAGCTGTGGTCAGTTACCAGTTTATCGGGTATACTCGGGTATTTATGATTATGGGTTATTGAAATATGTTTACTATTAATTAGAATTATAATAGATATTTAATAAAATAAATACAGTAGAAATAATGTTATTACATAATATTTATCAATATGTCTGTGTAAACCCGTGGGAAACTGGAGACTATATAGACTATCTGAACTATCTGAGTTAATTTATTTAATAGACGCGAAAACTGATATTTTTCGCGTTTTCGTGTGTTTATTGCTCATAGTTTATAAAAAGTTTGTACAACAAAAAAATATATAAAAAGGTCTTAATATCCTTTTCAATTTCAATATGAAAAAATTTATTTCTACGAAAAAATTTTACGAAATAAATTTTAATTTATAATTTTAATTTATATATTTTACGAAAAACTCTTTACGAAAATTTAACTTTATAATTTTTTTACCCAACTTCACACCAACTTCATCAAATTCACCCAAATGCCACGACATAAGAAATCGTCTAAAGGACATTCTTAGGGTAATTTGATAGTTGTTTATCAAAACGTAATTTCAATAAAAAAATATTTTAATATACAAAAAAGTATTCGTTATTTAATCATGTTGAAAATAATAGTACTCCGGAAAAAACACTACACAAGTTCCATCCCCACCACCCCATCTTCACAGCAATCACAAACTGAAAAAGAACAAGAGCAAAGAACAAGAGCCTGCTGTTGAGAAATCCGAAAAAGAAATTTTGAAGCCCCCAACTAATAAACCTGGTTCTTTAACAGTAAATAACAAAAACCAAAACTTCCTTTATCAACTCGTGATCACGTAGTTCAAATAATTAATGATTCAACGGTTGGAGATGACGAGTCAATTTGGGATGAGGGAGATCAACCTACTACTTCTTATAATATAGCCAGAAAACTTTCTAGTGTCGAAGAAGACGCTAACAAAGGTGATGGAATAGATTATAATGCATTAGAAGAATATACTACAGAAGAAAAAATTTCAGCAAAAAAAGATGAGGGAAATTATCATTTATTGCCTTCGTCTATTGATGTTAAACAGAATAAGGATAGGCAGAACGAGATTAGGGTATTACGTGGTATGTATAAATTAACAAGTTTGCCGGATGGACGTGAGTAGGTGCGCACACTGCAGGGTTCACGCCTCGCATGAGACATGCTTGGTGCATCCAAGGTTACAGCTGAAGCCTTCCGGATGGTGACTCAAGAGACTTTAAAAGAGGTGTGTATTTTTTTATTTGCAAAGTGGGTAACTTCCTAAGCTAAAATTAGAACGGATAACTCATTGAGTCGGGGAGTTCACAAATTTTACTTAGGAGGGTACTGGATTTGTTTGTTTTGGNGTAATTCCTATGAAATTACCTGCTTTTTTTTTTTATTTTATTTTTATTTTTATTTTTTTATTCCCTTTTTTTCTTCTTTTTTATTTTATTTTTTTTTTTATTTCTCTTGTTCACTTGATAACCAACTAAAGCAGATAAATCCTACTTTGTTATTAGTAAAGTCTGCTAATTCTAAAGGAGGAATTAGCTATGTCTTCTTTACCATTAAATAAAAATTTAGCACACTATCAACAATTTCTTCTTTTTCATAATAGATAAATGCAACCCCTTGGAAAAATAATTTCCCATTCATAGTACTAGACTACTAGTACATGATTTAAATTACAATTTAGCAACCCTACACTGAATGTTGGAAATCCGCAATTCCTTTTTTATTTTTATGAAAATCATATAATAAAAAAGCAATTGAATTTATCAGTCATACAAATAATTTAAATAGTTTGCAATTATAATTACATAAAAAAAATCCAAAGGTTTTTTATTTCAAGTTTACCAATATATTGTATAAACAAATGATTTTTTGTCTTTTTTTTTCGTATTTCGTGAGTCAATTACAGAATCTACAGAGTCAACTCGTAAATATCTTTGTGATCGGAGGCAGTATAGACACCTTATTCTCATTCAACGATTATTGAATAATCTTACGCTAATTGGTTAAAAAATTGCGCAGTACTTTGTTTGATATATTTTAACTTTTTTCGCGTGTTGCAGTTGTATAAATTATTGGTTTCGAGTGAGGCAATGACAAAGCTCTAACTCGAATTCATAAGAACTGCGCCAATTAGACACGTGTTAATGATCATGAGAAAATCAAATGTGCTAACAGCTAAACAGAACAAGAGTGGTAATTATGTTCGCCTTGATTTTGTACGTCTATAAAGCCAAAAAATTCATGTGAATCATTATGAAAAGCTATCGTTAAATATTAATAAGAAATTTCTTTAATACTTGTGATGCCAACAAAATAACGAGTCACTGCGAGTGTGATGTCACTAACTTGTTACTCACGATTAGTAACTGATTTTTGATATAAATTTGACTAAAAATATTACTTCAAACTTTCACTTTTTTTTTTTTTATTATTTTCACTTTTGATGAAAATGTCTGAATTAATTGAATTAACTGAATTGGTTTTAGGAATTTGTATAATGATTTTTATTAATGTTTGTTGTTGCGGTTGCATTTGGAGTAATTATCAAACATGGTTATAATTTTAATTATTCTCAAATCAATCGATTTATATATTAAATCACTTTCTATCACTTTCTATTGTATGACTAGAACCATTGATCTGGATCTTATTCAGAACGAAACGACGGTAATAATTAATTTACATACTTCTCTCGATTTCTAAGATATTTTAAATAACAAAATATTTTTCTCATGTTAACTCTATCAAAAAAAATAATAATAATAATTTATCGATTATTTAGTGTTCTACCTGATAACGAACACACATTCATCATTCTTTCACTCAAAGAAGAAAAACCTATAAGAGAATGTAATAATAAACATGAAAGCGATTCACTCAAAGAAGAAAAACCTATAGGAGAATGTAATAATAAATATGAAAGTGAACCTATTATCGAGAAAATAAGGTAATCATACAAAGAATCTCGATTTTTAATTATCTGACAATAGTCATAATATCTAATATGTCAATTATTTATTATGTCATTAGTAACGAACATACTGATATTGCTCCTTCACTTAAACAAATAGAAACAATAGAATCTGAGAAAGGATGTAATACACACATATATATATTAAATTGTTTAATTCTTTATTTTAAAAAAATTAATTTTTTTTTTTTTTTTGAAAAATAGTGTTTGATGATGATGATGAAAACCTTCACAAATATTTTGAAAGACTCAGTAAAAAAGTCGAAGTAGAAATTGAACGTAAAATTGATTATTAAATTTCTTTATTATCGGTATTATCTATTATTCTTAATAGGATTTCTTTATATTCTAGGAAAATTCCGGGATGGTACAACAATTAATGAAAGAGAATTTGAAAAGATTTAACTAAAATATGTAAATATATAATTCTGATACTAAAGTAATTGGGTTTCCAGTAATATCTAATGGAAACATCGGAAAAATAATTTAGAATATTAATATTATTATCTAAAATTCCTTTTACATTTAAAATGATTCAATATGTATGAGTTAATTTTACTTATATATAATTTTGTAATTAAATAATTAAAAATCCCAAGTCATTCCTCTCTAAAAATTAACTTTTTTTCAAGCAAAACCTTAGTTATCCAAATGCTTTAATTTGTGGTACGTAAATTTACATGAAGCGTTTTTAAAATAATTGTTTCAAAAATACGGTAATTTGACTAATTTCAACCAAGAATCGATAAAATGTATTTAAGAACTTCATTTCGGATCACGTGCTTGCGGTCTGAATTACTGCGTCATTTTAATTTGATCGTATCTAAATTCGTAAACATTTAAACATTTACATTAATTACAAAATTAACTAACTTATTAATAGACTTGGACTTTTCAAAAATATGAATATTAATGTAGAGAATAAAGTTGCTAATCTTGCGAACTCAGATGATTCTTCCGATGAACGAATAAAATGTAATAAATCAAATACTTTTCTTAATTGACGCAAAGAATGTAACTCCAAAAGATTTCAACAAAATTTTGACAATTGGACCATTGGAAATGAACATGTTGATAAAGTTATTTAAAAAGTACAATTAAACCCAAGGAGTAATTGGGAGTTACTTGAATGGATCCCTTATATAAAATTAAGAAAAATAATTATAAAGATGCAAATTACCCTGGAATTAAAAATCCTCTTAAAAGTAGTGCAAAGTATGATTATTCAGTAGTACTTAAAAGTTTAAATGATTCATCAAGTATTAATGAGAGTTTTTAAATGAGGCAAGCAATTATTAAATATACTGTGACAAAACAATGAGTGAAAATTTAGGTATGTATAGCATAATATACATATCCTGTATAATGAAAAAATGAAAAAATCAACTACTGTATTATAACATACTTATTTTAGATGAATATAATCGAAGATTGAAATATAAGAAAATAAATTTCTTATGAAATTACATTAGCATCAAAGAATTTTTTTAAAAAAAATATGGTTTACTAGTTTAGTTTATTTACAATTTTATATTATTTTTACAATATATATAAAAGAAATTGAAAATTACTAATGAAAATAAACTCTGCAATACGAAATAATAAAATAATGCAACATTTTAAAACTTCAAGATTTTTACGTATTCTCCTAAATACGCCTCTTTATCACACATTTATACATATCTAAAAAAAAGATCGTGTCAATTACTATAATACAAATCAATTTAGTATATCTGTTTCTAATGAAGTCCAACCACCCATCATTGGTTTGATAATGTTTCTAGAAATAACTGTTTTGCGTAAATCTGCTCGCCTATTTGAAAAGCTCGAGCGATCATTTTTGCTTGATATCCCATTTTTGTTATTTTTCTAGCTTACCTCTGCTTGATCCGCAACCACTTCACAACATGTTTTCCAAATGTTATTGTGAATTTTATTTACCATTCGAATTAAAATATCTTTTCTTCTCCAAGAAAGACTATTAATTTCAGAATCAATCCTTCGTTCTGTTCAAAAATATTTTGATGATAGCAAGAACACCTTATACCTAAATATAATTTTTATGCTTAAAGATCTGTCTTAGCTACCGTAGTAATACTGTATACTCCTATTCAGCAAGAGAGCTGAAAATTAAATTTTTATTCATGGTATTGAAGTTTTAATTGCACGAATACGGCAATATATAATAAAAGTTCTAAGACAATAAATAATTAGGCGGGATCCCACCATATCAGCATCAACAAAGTAAATGGTCTGAAAGTGACTTCTGGTTTTATTATATTTGGTGATGCTAAGTCTCATTTGAAGATAAGCAAAGCAATCTTGGTAGTTAGACGTTCAAAATAAACACTATGAATTATAAGTCAATCTGTACGAATAATAACATTCTTTGTCGCGGATTGAGAAATAAAAGAAATTCATGAATTTTATTGATAAAATACCAAAATAAAAATATTCATATCTAGCCTATCTGATCAGATCTCATTGAAAGAATTCGATGTGATGTTAATGAAAGATTCCATTTGGCAATGTCTCATTTTATCTCTAATATGGTTTAATAAAATAACATGACTTCGTTATTTTTCATAATGCAAACTAACCTACACACGCACACTAGCATGCAAGTAGCTAATAAGCGCCTTATTAATTCTTATAAAAAGATAAATTAGGTATATGATTCGGCTCATAGCTATGATACAAGGGTTTATTTTACAAAATGAAATGGCATCCCTAAACTAATACTGCGAACTAAATTAATCTAAACTAACACATGATCCAGTTTCATTTGTCTCAATCATCAATATTCTGAATAGAAAAAAATGGTCATCAGTTATATTTGAGACATGCAGTGTAAGAAATAAATTAACTTCATCTAACCTTAGTAAAGCCTCTCTCCTATTCAATAATAAAGTTGTACTGATTTACTTCTGTTAAAAATCCTTCCCAATGTGTTAGAAGTACTAGTATCAGTGGTGACGGAATACACTATAAAACTTCATTTGACGTAAGTCCTGAAAACAAAAAATGGGATGAGCAAATAAATACTATGAAAATACCTGACTAGAAAGACATTTATTGAATAACACGTCGTTAAACTATTTTATGATAGAACCTACTTTAATTATTCAACTGAGTGATAAAGTCTGCAATGTTCATGGCTGGTCCTCTCCTTAAACCATCTTGCAAAAGCGTATTTTTGGTAAAGAAACGCTACACCGTTTCTAAATCTCGATTTCACCATTGTTAAGAGAAAATTTATCTTTGTGGGAATTTAAAAAATTTTTGACAGCCACTACGCTCCAACCTTCAACTCCCTCAACTGACGGATTAGCGTGAGTACTTGTAGAACTTAACATGTCATTAAATTTAGACAAATATGTTGAATAGAAAAAATAGGATTTGGGTATATATAAGAGATCTATTATCGCACAATTAATCAGATACAATAATAGTAATAGCAAATATTAAGTAGCGAGAGAAATATATGATACTATCAAAGTACGCGGATCCTGGGCAGTTCCAGCATCATTTTGTTTCATTTCCGAGAGACTGGTTCCCAAAGACGAAGCTCCAAAAACAAAAAGGTAGCGGAACACAATAACGTTGTTGAATAATAAGACGTAAAATAGTAATAACTTTAATTATTCAACCGCACCACAACCTTGCATCAGTTTTTGTCCAGACTCGATCTTAAAATTCCTGTTTGTATCAAGGAACGCTAGAACAATCCTCAATTTCCCAATTTAAACATAAATAAGAAACAACTCCACTTCTTTGGACTTCAAAATAATGTTTGACCGCGTGAACTGTTTCAAATGGAGAATTTATAGAAGAGTACATTTCTTTGTTTTTCAGTGCAAAAAAATAGAGTCGGGATATATATATATAATCGATTGTCGCACGACACGATCCGCACGATCATTACATCATCGCATCGATCACGAGAGCTGTCAAAAATTTTGGAGGCAAAGTAAAAAAAATTCCGATTTACTCTCATTATTCTAACTTTGCAACCTATTCAAGGAGTGATCGAGTTGCTTACACGTTAATTAAAATCAGGTGACTAACGAAATCGATCATATGAAATTTTAAAAATAAATCACGTGCGTACAATTAAATCATAATGACGTTTCTTTCGTTTCTACTATTTTCAAATCCGTATTTTTAAACAAAACCACAATCACGTTCAGAACTTCTTTCACATTATTATGCGACACTTAATATGCATTGAAATTTGTCCTCGACCTTCTTCGTTAAATTTGATGACATATGAGATTTCGAAAACCTGATTGACTAGGACTAAAAGTCAGAAAATTTCAATCCCTGCAGATATCACAATACCGTAAATATTATCAAAATCGGCATCATCCTTTCATTTGTTTTATTTGTTTTCAATCTCTCTCGGATCTAGTCATAGATACTGTGTTAATTCCGTTCTAGATTCAGAAATTGCAATACAGATAGGATAGTAACATCGTTATGCAAATAGATTTATTTGATATATATATTTTAACATGGCCAAAATCTAAGAAAGTTGCATGAAACATTAAATTAGAATAATATAATTATATTCACTTATTTTAATAACTTTATCCAACTTTTGACCAAAATTCAAGGTTAGTTTATACACATTGCCATAATTCAAATCAATAATCTTATCCATATTTCTAAATTCAATTATTATTATCCAGAATTTAAATCCAAATAAATTTAATACAGTTAAAAATCTTTAATCTAGATCTCATTCAATGCATGCTAAACTACACGATTCGAAGCAAAAATCGCGGAATACACTAAACAACATGTACTGTACAGCGAGAAAGTAAAAGAACTTTTGAAACAGCTAATCATAGACTACTAAAGTTAGTCTATTGCAAGATAGAAACAAAAATGTATTCAAATTATTATGAATATTAACGTGTATAGAATAGCTACAGGATTAGGATCATTTACTATCACTTAATTCAGTAAATTGTTAGATTATTAATTATCGCTTTAATTCCGGCCAAGATATATGATAATTCCATTCTGACCAGCATTATGAACTTTGCCTTTTGTTTTGTAACTTTAGGTTACACTTTATTGGCATTAGCTGAATAATGAACAAAAGGAAAAAAAATACTAACAGCTAAAGATTATGATTTAAAAAATGATACACAACTGATAATCAATTCCTTCTCGCAAAATTAGTGGATCTATTGCTTTTTCTTTTATAAGATGAACAATATTCTATTTGAAATAATTTATTGGTGGAGCAGATTTTTTTTTTACTACTTAGGAATTTGAAATTTTCAATGAAGGAAAAACTCTCACGTTTAGAATAAAATAGGGAAAATCTCAAGGTTTTCATATGGTAGAAATATTTGGGGATGGTCACGAGCTAAAATAAGAATGTTCGACATTTCGAAGTTAATCCTTGCCTAAAAATTTGCAAACATATAAATAAATATATACCATGTTACAATCCGAATTTCGTGCGATTACATAATCTATCAAAAGAAATAATAAATAAATAAATAAAAGAAAAATATTTTAATATTTCATTAATTTAGGATATTATTATTTAATTAAATAATTAAAAATAAAATTGGCGTATAGATAGATAACAATGGCTTAAATATATTTGAACATGCTTTTTGTAAAATCGCCGGCCGATATGAACAGGTGAGAGTGTGTGTATCATTTGTATCATTTGTAATACATTATTGTTTGGTATTAAATGTTGTGACTGATTAATATTTGAAGTTGCTATTTATTCAGTCAAATTACAGTAAATCCCTTTTTACTATTTATTCTCCCAATACAAAAAGGATTTTGTTTGCAACACATGACGAATTAACCCAAAATTGTAAAGATTTGATAGGAAAAAAAGAGAAATCAAATAAGTACTCCCAAACATTTCTGCCTCATGTACCTTATCACATTTTCTAAATTATCCGTCCAAACATCTACACTTCTCTTAATTAACTCTTCCTCGGAAACCTTTTGAAATCAAAATTCTTTCATTTTTTAATTTTTTAAAATTTTTTAAAAGCAAAAAGTAACAATGGATGCTCGTGAATTGCGATCGGTTGCGATGTCTATAATACTCAAACAAAGAGTATGTCGGATGCTACCAACGCCTTCATCTTTACATAATAAACAGGGATTCCAAACTTATCCACCGATAAATCGTAGAAGACGTCAAACCTATGAATACAAAGAAATAGACATTTCAGCATTTGACGCCTTATTTGAAGGGAAACTTATCGAAGGCATTCCAGACATGATGCCCTCTCCAAAACCAACAACTACCTTTACATTTAACGAAAAAAGATCTCGATATAGACATATTAAAGAAAGAGAGTTCTTTATAAATTGTAAAAAATCTGTTTCGCAACTCATACTTTATTGGGAAACTGTGTGGCTAGTTGGAAAGGATAGCGCTGGAAGGTGTGCTGGTTGGAATTGGTAAAATAAAATTAATAAGATTACATAATTATATATATACATATACTGTGTATATATGTTTAATCGATCTGATCATATTTCATTGTCTCGCCCGTATATAAACATTCTTAATAATAGACTTGTATATTTTTTCAAAAATTTTTTTATTCTTAATTCATATAATTAACTTATAGACATCTCAGAAGGTTTTTATTATTATAGTAATCAGATTAAGATTCTCTTTTATTTACCAACTGTAAGAGAGAGTTTTAACTCTAAAACCTATTTAGTTATTATTTATATATTAATAAAAATATCTTCTTTTCTTTCAAATGATGAATGATTAGAACAATCAATGATTAATTTAAATGATGAAAAAAATAGAATATATATAGTTACATAAATTTTCTATCATTAGTACTTATTCTCAATATAATGTTGAATAACTTTTGGTTCATATTTGAAGTCTACCATTTTCACCCAGGTTTCAATATCAACTGGTTTATAATTACCAGGTATAACACTAACAATAGCTGATTGATTATTAAAATAAACTTTTGAATCTACCACGAAAGGTTTAGAATCAAATTGAGTTTTAATCCTATTAGCACATCCCTCGCAACTTATTCCATTGATTTGAACAACAAATATTTCAACTTCTTCTGTTAAAGGCTTTTCTAAATTAAATGGTGATATTGTAATTTTTCCTTGATTATATAAAGAAATCAATTCTGGAGATGTTGATAAAGATAACGAAATCAGCAATGTAACTAAGGTTTGTTTCGAATTTAACCCATACTTAGTCATCGTATATAATATCAGGACCGTGGTAAAAGATAGAAATATTGGTCGATATGGTGTTAAAATGCTGAATCCTGCACAACTGATCGAGAATATGTTAAGGATTAGTTGTATAATACAACAGCTTGAGCCTAGAAGGCCAGTAGTAATTGCCCAAATATATGATGATTTATCCGAAGGAAAAGCGCTTTTAGGTTGCATATTGTATAAAAATAATTTTGAAAATTAAGAAATTGAGGAAGAACACGCATAACGACCAGCAACCATAAACAACACATATATCCATAGAACTATTGTAACACAAGTCACCAGATTTAATTAACGCATTTGATTAGATGTTAGAAATCTTCATTTATTAGAACTATTAATTTTTATTCATGTCTTTTAGACGAGTAATTCCTTTATTTAAACTCTTCACTAATACCGAAAACTATAACAGACGTGTATTATGTCATACCATTCCTTTTTCTAGTCCACAAAAACATTTTATCAAATTTCGGTATTATTCAAATACAAGGGATTTACCCGACAGGGTAGAATTTCTATTGAGTAAAATTGGAAAAGAATCTGGTAATTTGCTTTTACTTTACGCATATGTGAAGTTTTAAAGCTTAAACCTACTTATTTTTATATTGAATATAAGATATATCTCAAACGTCAACAACGACTGAAAAAGCCACTACAGAAATTAAAGAAATTATCGGTTCAACATATGGGTAAATAAAGTTTCTCTTATTTACGTTACGATTAAGTAAAAAATTAAGAACATCTTATTCTTTAGAGTAAATTATCGATTAAAATGGATGGAACCTCCACGCTCAGTTCTGGTTGTGAAAAAACCGTTTACCAAATCAACTGATAAAGCACTCTTGGAAATTGTAAAGTACGTCTGAAAAAAAAAATTCCTTACATATGATTTATTATTAAATCATTAAACTTATTTCCACAATAAACTCTTCAGTTGGTTACATGAATCTTATCCTAATATAAATATCATTGTTGAACCTGAGGTAGCTAAAAAATTTGAAAATGAATTACCATACGTGTTTATTTCACAAGGTGGGTGGTTTAATCAAATGTTTTTTTTATATGAATTAAACTAAATGATATTTTAAAACAAAATTAGGACATGGAGATGAATATACACGTATTGTAGATTTTGTTATAACAATAGGTGGCGATGGAACAATTCTTCACGTTTCATCACTTTTCAATCAATGTGTTCCTCCAGTCATATCATTCTCGATGGGGACATTAGGATTTCTGCTTCCTTTTCGTATCCTTAATAAACTGTGTGAATAAATATCAATACATACTTTAGAATACCTTGACTGATGTAATATCATTGGATAGATTTACAACATTACAAATCTGCGTTAGAAGACATAATCAAAGGAAACGTCTCGCTATTACTTCGCATGAGACTTTCTTGCTCGATGTGGAACACAGAAGGGAAAAGAATTACAAAAGATGACATTGAGATTGGTAATTAATGGCTACACAGCAGCGTAAATTTTATTTAAACAATAGTTCTGATTTAGATATTGTATTTTTTTTTTAATCAGGTAATTTACAATCCATGAATGAAGTCAATTTACATCGAGGGCGTTATCCACACCTTACTGCCATCGAATGCTTTGTGGATGGACAATTTTTAACGGATGCTGTGGTAAATTATCTTAATGGTTTACTAAGTAATCTTATGAAGTCAACCCCTTTTCTCCACAGATGAAATATGAAATATTTTTAGAATACAGTATAAGATATAGCTAATCACATTTTCATTCTTTTATCTAGGCGGATGGGTTGATAATTGCCACTCCTACAGGCTCAACAGCATACTCATTGTCAGCTGGCATGTTTTCTTATTTATTTACTTATGAATAGAAATTTTTGAAAGAACTGAATATTGACCTGGCATATATCAGTGGAAGATGTTTATCTCTTCAATGGTTTGGATCAAATTGCCTGGGGTTTATTAATCAATGATGAATCTTACCATTGAAGGGATAAGTAGCTCAAGGTACAAGTTGGACGCGTTTTATGCTCGAAATATTATTGATAAGATCATATTATTTTATTGATAATGCCAGAATCCAAAAAAGATACTCGTAAATTAAAATTAGAAACTCAATGTATTGGATTGTAAATTAATATAGGAGGACCTATAATACATCCATCTGTGCAAAGTCTCATTGTTACCCCTATTTGTCCAAGATCACTTTCTTTTCGACCTATTTTATTACCACCAGATGTAAAAATACAACTAATGGTAAGCTTGATTAGTATGTAATTACGTAATATTAATTTTACTCTTCATTTTTAAAGTTTTGATTTAAATTTCTAGATTGGTGAAGAAAGTCGTGCTCCAGTAGAAGTTACAATAGATGGAAGAATAATATGCATGTTGAAAAAAGGAGAATGGTTAGAGGTAAGATCATATAATTTAATTTGACTTTTTTTTTAAAAAAAAAAGAAATATATAGTTTTTCTCTAAGGGCGTCATAGCACAATCAAATTAAAGATATGGTGGTTTACAAAAAAGATACAGTATACAGAGAATGAGAATCGGTTTGATTCTGAAAAAGGGTCCTAATCAAATACATGGTACTTGCGCTAAATGTGCCAATAAAAGAACCATATTCGTCAATAAGGATATGAAAGTTTAACATAATATTTATTTTATTTATTTAATAGGTACAAATGTCACCTTATCCAATTCCTTGCGTGAACAGAATTGATGAGGGAGTTGATTGGGTTAAGGATATTAATGATTTATTAAAGTGGAACCAAAACTTTGTAAATAAGCAATTACTTACACACGGATTTGTTTAATATACATTTATCCTTAATAATTATTTTCGTAGAATTACTTTCAGGAAAAATTTAATAAATAAGACAAATTATTGTTAAAAAATAATATTAAAAAAACTTTTTTCAGTATTTTCACAAGGTTATTTTAATACTAGTGGCAGAAGGGATATAAGGAGATTATTTTAATAAATGTCAAATTAATATATAGATCCTATCTAAGGAAGTCATGGTTATTACTTATTGAAGTTCTTGTAAGAACTTTTCTCAAATTCTCTAAGTTTAAATTTTCGTTTCCTCTTTTTCACTTTAACTCGAGGTTCTATTATATTACGTTCTTCTAAACTAACCATCCTATCACGAAATAGGTTTCCTTCCGGCTGTTTGTTTAAGAATATTTTTATTAGATTTTGTTCAAAATGTATTTATGCATTATAAAATTACGATACCTTTAATGTTCTTAATGATTCAGACAGTTCTTCCTGAAGTTGTACATCAATTGGCAATTTTTTAACTCTAATCATAGCAAAAATAAATAAAAATTCACATTTTTTTAGTCGACAAAATTGATTAGGATAAGAGAATATACAGAGCTAAATTACATACGAATATTTTCCAATCTTCTTCAACGGTAAGTTTGCTTTTTCCTCAGCTGCCTTGGCTTTTTCAGCTTGCTGTTTCTCACGTTCTGTAAATTCTTGATTGAAGCTTTGAATTATCTCTGGGAGCCTAAGCATTAATTGTAAAGTTAAATTTTTTTGTTTGAAAAAAAAAATCATTGAGTATATAAATTTTTAATACTTTTCCAATTCTCTCCTAAATTCTTTTTTAGCTTTTCTTCCTTGTTCTTCTTTTAATCTAGCAAATTTCCTTTTTTCTTTATTTCGTTCTGTCCTTGTTTTTTTATGCTGATTATTAACTTGTTTTTCAATCACTTCATTTCTTTCATTTTCCTCAACTTCATCCTCCGAAGATTTTTCTTCATCAATATCTTTAACCACCATATCCTCTGGATTCATTACTGAAGTTGGCATTTCAGATAACACAGGAAGCTGAGATTGCAATTTTTCTTTTTTCTGTAATTTGACTACTTCTTCTTCGTGAGCAATTTTAAGTAGAGACTTTTTGATTTAATAAAACAATATTATTAATATGCAAATTTCATGTGTTATAATAATATAAATACTAAGCTACTAAGTTAGTTAACGGGCAGCAACGCCTATACTAAGATGGAAGTAAGTATAATTTATACCTGATGATCCTCAAATTTTGGATTATAACTAGTTCCTGGATGCGGAAAATGTACAGCTGGAATAGTATCAAATGGTTTCACGTTCATAGTTGGAGGTGGCTTTCAAATTAAGAAATAAATAATAATAATTTAATAATTATTAAACGAACTAATTTTTAATAATTTTGAATGATTAATTCACCTTAATTTTCCGTTTCTTCATTGGAGGCAAGAAATCATTGTCATCATCTCGAAGTAGTTCATCGGATTCTAAATAATCATAATAAAATTATTAAGTCTACATCAGAAAAAAAAAATCTGTTTTTTTTTCCCAAAAATTAATTCATACCTTCTTCATTCCATACATCATATTCACCAGTTTTTAATAAAACTTTAGTAGGTACAGAATTTTCAGTAGTTAATTTAACATGATCACTTTTTTTTTTTTTTACCAACTCTTTTGATTCTTTTGATTCTTTCGATTCTTCTTCTTCTGATTCTTCTGATTTAAATTTATTATACTTTGATACATAATGTTTTTTATGATCATTTTGTTTTTTTGGTTTTGAAAATATTGCGGGAATTTTACTATTATTTTCTATTATTTGATCAATTTTTAGTTTGGCAAATTTTTTATTTATTTTCTTCCTAACTTTAGATTCAATAGAACGAATCAATGGAAAAAAAAAATGAAATTATTAAATAGTTTTTTTTTTTTTTAGAAAAAATTTTATTTAACATTAAAATATGATAAAATAATATTTTACCTTCAACATCACCCAATGTATCAATTGTAAAAATTTTTTCGTCCGGTAAATCACGAATTCTACCTCTAATATTCAAAAATAAAATAAAAAATAAATATTATGATATTATTATTACAATTAAAAAGAAAAAATTGATATAAAATAACAATAATTATTTTATCTTTTTTTTTACAAACCCAGTAATTCTCTCTTCGTCTCTTATCCCTTCTAACGTTTTTTCTATTTCAGTAATATCAACATTCTTTCTCCAAGCCTTTTTTCCCTTACGACTCGGTTGAGTTTTCTTTTTTTTTATCACAGGTTCAATAGGTTCAATAGGAATTACCGAAGCCATTTTTCAAAAAAAAAAAAAAAAATCGATCGAGATCTATGTATGTCACTTTTTCAGTGTACTAAAAAATGTAATATAAAAAAAAAAAATATTTTATTTTATGATTGGATGATCAAATCATATTGTGAATCGTGATGTGCGTTTGATTAATTTGAGTTAATTTTTGAATTAACCATTTCAATGCGTATTTATTAATTAAAAATCTTTAAAATTTTCTTTTTTTGCGAAAATCCCAAATTTTAAGAGTTTTTAATTAAAATTTTATTATTTTGATTTACACGTGTTAATTAAAAAGCATGATTTTTACATGAAAGAAGCTTTTTTTCTTCTTAGTCTTTCTTTTTAAGTGTTTTTTTTAAAAAAGTGTGTGAATGTTCTTTACAATTAATTATTATTATAATCAAGTCTATCTATTGCTGTATAAACTGGTAAAATGTAATAAAATGCTATACTTTTTTCTATATTAAGAAAAGTAAAAAAAAAAAAATCGTCTAAAAGCAAATGTTATTATTATATTAAGGATTAAAGTTTTACCAATCAAAATTCCTTCCACCACAACCAGAAGCAAAACTACCATTCATTGAACCCCGATATAAATCTTTGATTACTAAACCCTCAATTATAGTATGCTCTATTATGCTTTTAGCATGACATGGTATAACTCTTCCGTACCATATTCCTTTTCCTTCTTTATATACAATAACATTACCAGCGAATCGATGTCCTAAAATTTTAAAAAATTAAAAAATTTGAATCGAATTTTCGCAAAAAAAAAAAAAAAATATAATATAATAATATATATAATAATATATACCTCCAGTGTGACTGCTTAAAAAAACTCCAACGCCATCGTTTTTACGCGTTTGAGGATCCAATCCTTTTTCTTTCAAGACTTTGTCAAATTCTTCCTTTAACAAAGGACCAGTAATACCACAACGTTTATCCCTTCGTTTATGAGAACAGATTACAATAATAGCTTTATAAGGCATTTTTTCAATTATAAAATTATCATCAAGATAACTATTATCCAAATAATTTTCTGCATTTTCTGGTATTAAAAATCTTTTATAAAAATCCGTAACTTGTTTAGTAGTAACATCTTTAATTAAGATATTTTCAGGGAATATTAATATATCATTTCCTTTTGTAGATGATGAATCATTTTCTCTTGAAGAATTTGTGATTATAACCCTTGAATGATCAGTATTTTCATGTTCTTCATGATTATTTTTCAACGACTTTTCATTTAATTTAATATTATTGATAACTTTATGTAAATTAGCAGCAAAACTATCACGTTCATCTTCAATATTTGTTTCCCAATCACCTTTACCAGTTGATATTAAAACATGTTTTATATATGGTTTGACAGTATTATGCATAGAAGATTCATAATCAATTTTCAAATAAGATGGATAATTAGAATGAGAATCACAAGGATTCAAACAATTCAAACACGAATCATCATCAGATTTTTCCAGTTGTTGTAATTCATCAAAAGATATTAATTCATTTGGCGAAGGAACAGTTTGTAAAAGAGCAGCAGTTTCAGCATCAGGAAATTCACTAACAGTTTGAGTAGGCTGAGGTTGAGGTTGAGGTTGAGGTTGAGGTTGAGGTTGAGGTTGGGATTGGGATTGGGATTGGGGTTGGGATTGAGGTGGCGAAGATAATGATGATTGGCTTTTTTCCGAAGAAATGGGAGATGATGATGATGACAGCGACACAGAACGAGACGATAAAAATGTGGAAGAAATTATATTAAATAATTTTGAACTAATACGACGAACCGGTTTTGGCATTTTTAATAATATTATAAAAATTAATAATATTATAGTATAAAATATTAAGATTGGAGCGAAAAATTGAATATTTTTATTTAAAGTTGTTATTAATTGATGTTGTGTTAATAAGTTTTTCATAGTAATAAATCTATGTACATATATAATATTATTATTATTATTAAGAACGATTATTTTTAATAAAAGAAAAAAAATAATATTTTTTTTTTCTTTCTCGAAAAAAAAAAACTGGGGTCGTATTTATAACCGTTTTTTAAAGTACAATATATATATGTTGAGTATAGTTGAGTATATAAAAAAAAGATCTCCGAGTATAATAAAACGTGTAAATTACATATAACTTTTTTTTTATCAGATTTTTTTTTTTTTTCAGAGTTTCCAATTCAGGTTAGATTTATTGCATGCGCTCATCCACAAATCACTTAATATTGTCAAATAGGGACTTATCACTTATCAGATCCCGATACGAATTGTTCCTATAGTTGTTCCTTATAATATTTTTATATTATTTTGAACCAGCCCCATTTCCTATTCAAGTTTATCAGATCCTAAACAACAAAAAAACCTTGTACACAAGGAAATTAAGATAATTTATTTTTTTTCTTCAACATCTTTATCTGAGAAGACTTTATAAAAAAAAGAATTCCATCTAAAAAATCAAAAAAATTCGTCACATGATAATAACAATATTTCCATAAAAATTCAAATAGTTTACTCTTTAGGAGGAGTGATCGGGGAAGGTTTGGTAAAAGTAATTCAATGGTGTCACATTAGTTTACCATGTCAGTAGGGGTTTAAACTTGTTAAACGTTACTTTGCAAGAACTAATTAAATGATTTCTTCTATACACAGAATTTGTATCATTTAAATTTATTTATATAGGGATAGACTGAAACTATATATATACATGATAATTATTAATACGGTTTTTCTTAAACAATAAAAATTTATAATACAATAAATTTATAATACAATAAATATACTTGTTTTTAAACATTTATAAACAAGTGTGAACTTAAAATTTGCACTGCCACGAGATCAATTATTGAGATCTGAGCTAAAAATGATTGAAATCCAATGAAAATAATGATGCAAAATCATGTTATCTCATTCAAACACGCCAGAATTATTACATTATTATTAAAGAACAAATCAAAAATCATAATGATTAGCCCTTCTAGATACGTTCTTTAACCATATTAATCATATAAGTATAAAATGATCTACATATGTAGGACAATTTGTCACGTTTGGTTGCATATTGCATGTATCAAAATCTGATAATTAATTTATTTGTTTATTTTTTACTGGCTTATTATAAACCACCCCACACTTAACATACCTGATTTATTCTTTTTTTTAAAAAAAAAAAATATATTCATTATGAGTCAGTGGGGAGTATGAGAATGAGTAAAATGAGTAAAATATCAATTTGAATAATGTCAATAGTAAATTGGAAATATCATTGTTCATGTAAAATTTCATGCATTGTTTAAATTGCGAAATTATGAGATTTACTTTCTTACCAGATGGTCGTATCAGGTGATAATTGATGATCAGCGGACTCCCGTCATCCGCCGAAAAAGACTCATATTATACATAAAAATATTATTGGAAAGAAAATCGTCTAACCCATTTTTATTAATTGTTTAACAGACACTTGTCTATCAATTATCTCTAGTCTTATCCTTATCTCGTAAAATCATTAAAAAGATTTAAATCAAAAAAATATAATATTTTAGGAATAATGAATTTTATTTTGTAAAACTAAATGTTCAACATGAAACAAGTTCAAGATGCCTTTCAAAGAATCATCAAATAATTTCAATTCTGAGCAGTAATTATCTACTTGATCTTGTTGTACTGGTATAGTCGTCACTTCTACTATCCAATTTTCTTTTGGGTCGAACGGTGTTAATTTCGACACATCATGCCGAACTTCCAACTATTAGATCATGTTATTTATTAATTTACAATCACGAGTAAAGAACGAAAATAAAGATTTCGTTACCTTGAAGATTTGTGTAATACTTATTTTTAAAATATCACGATATGTAAATATAATTCCCTTCTTTGTATATTCGAATGCATAACTAAAAGGTACGTTAAATAATTATTATTCAAATCTGAAAAATTTTAAAATTTTTTTTTTTTTTGTTTCTAACCTGTATCCAAGCACTGTCATAAATTTAAGTGCATCACCAACTGTAATTTTTGAATATAATACAGGTCTAACTGTAACGGTTCTACCTCTTGTTTCTGGATGTCCAAGTTGACATAATGTCCTAGATTGAAATTTTAAATATTATATTATATATATTTAAATTAAATATGTAAATATGTTATAAATATACCATTGTCGTTTGGTTAAATCATTTTCTTCAATTGGTGATTTTATTCTTAATAAAACATCCTCATTTCGTTGAGGTCCTTCCGCAGTTTGCGCTATAAATTAATAATTAATTATTAATTATTATATATTTTCTTTATTGATTGTTTTACTTTTAATAAAAATTCATAAAATTCATAGTATAATTGTTTTATTTAACTTGTTGGTATAAACCCAATTTCATGTTCAAAAAATGGAAAAGGATGAGTCCCACAAATTCCTATTAACCTATCTAATAGTTTCGCTTTTAACTTATTGCTAATATGACCATGTAAGCTACACTCAAATACAGTTACCATATTTTTTTTTTAAAAGAAAAGAAAAGAAGTGAACAAAGGAACTCTAAACAATTACAGATTGACTGCGGATTCAGTTCAGTTTTATACTGGTGTTACAAAAAAAAAGATTACATTAAAATTGGTAAGATTTGACAATTTTTTTTTTTTTTGGCGACCAAAAAGTCCGCTGCTCCTCATTGGCAGTAGTAATTATCTTTTCCTTCGTTTAGTTCACAAAATGTCAACAAAAGAAGCAAAAGAAGCAAAAGATGAAGACTCTAATTCGGCTACTTCAACTACAGCAGCTACACCTATACCTTTTGTTACTTCAAGTTTAGCTTTTCAACGTACTCAGTCTTGGTCTACAACTTCTTCAGGTGAAGAACATCGTCAATTTGAAGAGCTTATACCACCTGATAACTTTAATATGGTGTCAAATTGGGTTTATAGAAGTAGTTTTCCAAAAAAAAAAAATTTTGCTTTCTTGAAGAAACTTGGGCTAAAAAGTATTCTGTATGAATAGTAAATATCTATAATATATTGTGTTTTACCACAATTGAATTATCGATTCGATTGAATCGTTATTTTTTATATATAATTCGTAAAAAAAAAAAAGAACGTTGATCTTAGAAGAATACCCTGAACAAAATATGAAGTTCTTGGAAGCTAATGATATTAAATTTTTTCAATTTGAAATCGCTGGTAACAAGGTAAAAAAAATCACGTGTTTCAATGCTATTATATATGTATAAAAAGTTTGCATTTAACATTAATTCTTACTCATATTTATAGGAACCTTTTTGTCATAGTAAACATCATATGATTTAAACTTTCTTCGTAATTTTTTCGTGTCGTTTTTTCAAGATCAGTGTTTAATAATATTTTATTACCAATTTATTAGTACCTGAAGACAAAATAAGTGCTGCTTTGGCCGTAATTTTGGGTATGTTTAATTAGAAAATAAAAATTATATAATTCATTTAAATCTAAATTATTACTGTTGAAATTTTCATTCTAGATCGACGTAATCACCCTATCTTAATTCATTGTAATAAGGGCAAAGTAAATATAATAATATTTTTATTATATATATATATATATATATATATATATATATATTAATTTTGTTTCTTTAAAAAGCATCGAACAGGGTGTCTGATCGGATGTCTTCGCAAGCTTCAACGATGGACGTATACTTCAATCTTTGATGAGTATCGACGCTTTTCGCATCCAAAATCACGCTCAATGGATCAACAGTTTATTGAATTATTCGATGTATCTCAAGTATGGAAACTCGTTGATAGAAATTATGTTCCGAATTGGGATGTTTTGGGTAATTATAATGAATTTAAATATCTGATATATTTGTTTCATTTAAATCGTTTATTTTTATACATTTTATGATTTCATCATAGGTTGCCCTTGGTGAATATTTAGTGATAGATAATTAGATGGGTTTTTTTTTATTGCCAAACTATTTAAATAAAATTATATCAAAAGATTTACATTAATATTTATAATTTATTAAAAATGAGTGCATATTATAATTATCAAAAGAAGTAACCACGGTACAGCTAGTGTAACGAAATAAAAATTACTTATCCCATTAAAAGGATCTTATATACTATATTGTAATCTCGATTTGGGAGATTTATCCTGTTATGATCACAATCAATCTTGTACAAACCCCAGCGAAATAATGGCGGTCAGTTTATTTTAATATCACATAAACTTTATAATAAAGTTGCGGAGGTTTTTTTTATTTTCGGGAAGAGGATCAGAAATCAGAATACATAATTAATATTAGGTTTGTCCTCCATCTGCATCAAATTTGATTTTGCATGCTATTATTACTAATAACTTCGCTATTAATAAATAATAACTATGATATTTTCAAAATTATTTAAATGGTTCGTAAATCCCCCCGTATTACCACTTTCCTTTCCCTGACTTTTCTCAAAATTAAAAAAATGTGAAATGATCATCATTTATGAATTTTTTTTAAGGATAACTTTAGTGTGACATTTTGGCTTTTTTGTGTTGCTTATAGAAATGCAAAAAATTTTCTGTTCTAAAGGTAAATCCATTTTGAGTAATAAAAACAAAGATAATGTCGGTTACTTTTTTTTATTGCTTTTTAAAAGAGCATTCCACTGTTTCAATTTGGTATAATAAGCAATGATCTATTCGGGATAGTAATGAAGTTATGTCCAAATTAAGAAGCGGTGTTCTCACCTCCATTATTTTCGCCGAGGACTACATAAAAATTGTAACGTGAGCGTGGAAAACTAATGTCGTCCAATGTCACTTGATATCCGTGATTGCCGGTTTTACTGTACAAACCTAGTAGATTTCGTCATTTTCACATGGAAAAAGCATGATTTTAATTTAATTATATAACAACTAATCTACAAATTTGTCCTTCATAGCAAGTTTAACGTAATTATTATTTGTAATTTACCATTGCGGGTCAATAGGAATTTATCTCCACTCACTTTGAAACCCATACCAGTACAGATCAATATACGACATAATAAGTCTTAAATAGCTCAAAAGTTGAACTGTACGTACTTTAATAATTTTTTATTAATAAACTGGTTGGAATTCACAATGTTGGTGGAGGTAAGATCTAGATAATTTTATTTAAAACGTGTATAACGCGCTATTTTATTATACTAACACGTAAAGTTTTGATTTTTTATAGATTATAAATTTCTTTCTTTCCCCACTTTATTTTCTTTTCGAGCCTTACATTACCCGTTTCACAAATGCACTGACTTCTCAAAAAACTCAGCGGACTGCTGTAAAAACAATTTTTATAAGCGCTGTTGCCTTTATATTAATTTCAGTCGCATTTGTGTCATATTTGGGCTTTTATATGATATATGTTCCAAAAATTGCTCATGCGAAACCTGTATATTTACAATATCAGTAAGTGATAAAATTTTGTTGATCATGATCAATCTACTAAAAAAATATGGAGCTTTATTAATTATATTAATTATATTACGCTTTTTTTTTAAAAAAAAAACTTCAGTAAAGATGATTCTCCTTATGCGATTATTGATTTTACTGAAAATGGCCGATACGACAGCGTGAGTTTTTATGTCTTTTTTTTAGTAGCACTTATGCCTAAAATTAAACTATTTTTTTTTTATATAGTTTTTAACAGCAGATCAAGCATATGATATTTTAATTGATCTAGATGTTCCTAGTTCGGATAGAAATGTTGCATTAGGTAAGGCTAATGGTTATTTTTAATCAATCATATTATTCGTGTATTCGTGTTTAAATTCATCATCTTTTCGTGATGACGGTAATTATAATTATAATTAACCCACGATCCATCATTTCAGGAAATTTTATGGTCGGTTTGGAATTAATGGCCAAGAATGAGACGGTGCAATATTCGAGTCGCCCTGTAAGCTTTTTTTTTAATACCTTTTGTATTTTATTATTTTCAAAAAACCTGAGTTCTTAAAAGATTTTTATTTTTTATCTTAGTGCATTCTTACATATCAATCGGGTCTATTTCGCGTCATTTATACTTTTTGGCGGTTGATCCCTTTAGTTCTAGGTTTCACAAAAGAAGATCAACAACTCAAAGTAGTTATGTTTGAGAACATGATTGAGAGTGCCGTAAGTCTTTTATAAACGAATTTTGTATTTATCATCATTTATTTTAGTGTATGTAATCTCAAACTTTTAATTATGCAGGAAAAGCCAATAACTAAAGCATTAATTACTATATCAAATAGTAACCTTGATGTATATAATGCTCAAATTCGGTTGGATGCTCACTTCCGTGGCTTACGGTATGATATAAAAAATATTTTTTTTATAAAATAAAGAAAAAGGTGAAATTAATTAATTCTTAATAATCTTATTATAGGTACTTCATGTATTATCATTCAATTCCTACCGCTATTACTTTCATGTCTATGTTCCTTACCTGGGAAATATTATTCTCAATCATTGCATGGAGATCATTTGTTTCATGGTGGCAAAGGAAAGTTCTTGCAGATTCATTAACAAGTCCAATTACACCAATTATGAAAGTTACCGACAATATTACTGAGAACAATTATCAAGATGACGAATCGGATAGAACAACTAGTCGACGTAGTGAAAGAGTAGAAAGAATTTCGGATGATAATGGAACAGTAACTGAATCGGAGAGTGAATATGAATCGGTAAATAAATTATTTGTGATGTTTATATATTCATTAATATTATTGATTAATTTACATTTTCAATTTGTAGTCGCGTCCTGTTTCGGTAATTTCTCCAACAGACACGGCACTAGTCTCTGAGTCCGGAGAGATGAGTTATAATACAGAATCATATGTCACAGATGATGACGAGTCCAATAGCGTTATTTCACGATCTTTGGATGATGATGATGCTGCTAGCGAATCTAATGATGGTCAAATTGATGATGATGATCAAACGGAAGGAAGTGCTACACCAACTACTCGAAGTCGAAAGAGTACAATATCCGAAGCCTCAACAACAAATAAGTCAGAAGCTGAAGGTGCGCCTAGTACTAGTAGTGCTACTTTAACTTCTAGATTACAAAGTGATTATACGAAACCATACGTTAAAAAGGCCAGCTCGAGCGGTGGTAATAATGGAAGTGATAGGGAATAATTATATTGCTAGTTGGTAAAAAGTATAAAGGGAATGACGTATTCTTTTTACCTCTATATAAATTTTCTTACCTTTGCATTTTTATGATTTCATTACAATTTTAATTATTTGCTTAATAACATATAAACATATGGATACTAGGATCGCAAAGAAACTTATAAAATTGGAATATTAAGAAAATTGTTGTAAAATTGTTATTATATTTTCTTATATTACATTTTTTACATTATTAAATTCTTTACGAACATAACGCATTATTTCATAAATAAACACAAATAAAAAAACCAATTAAAACCATTATTAATGAATTAGAAGAATTTACTAAAGAAATTCTCAAATGGCTTAAAATGTGTCATTAATGGAATTCTTGGCTTTATAAAAACATTTGATGATGATGATGTTGAAGTAATAGCGGGATTTGTTAAACTACAAAAAAAAATGGACCGTTTAATATTTTTTCCTTTTTTTTTAATAAATCCAAAATGGTTTTTTTTTACTTACGTAGTAAAACTTTTCAACCATTTACCATTTAATTTTCTAGCAGTTTTAGCATTAGTACTAGTACGTTGGCCCCTTACAGGATAACCCATAGCATGACGTTTACCTTTATAATTACCGATTGCTCTATGATGTAAAATATTATTTCTAACTTGACGACGTAAATCACTTTCTATAGTCATATTATTTAATTCTAAAGAAATTGCATTTAATTGAGATTCTGTTAAATCAGATATTTTACATGTATCATGAATTGAGAATTTACTACATAATTTTTGAGCTGTTTTATGCCCTATTCCATAAAAATAGGTTAAAGCAATCTAAAAGAAAGGAAAGAAAAATAAAAAAATTTATATATATTTTTTTTCCTTTTTTGTAAAAAAATTATTTAATTCAATAATTTTATACTTACTCTAACGAGCTTTTTATCGGGTAAACTAACACCAAGTAACAAAACTGGCATTATTAAATTAATTTTTTTAAAAAAAAGATAAAAGTTTGAAACATTTTTAAATTTTTAAGTTTTTAAATTTTATCAATCAATTTTTGATTGGATATTCACATCTTGTATGACAACGAATTAAATTTTGTGCTATAAATATTTAGTTAAAATATTTATAGAAAAAATTTGGGAAATTTTTATATTGTGATATTTAAGGTATTCAAAAATACCAAGCAAGCTAAATAATACTAACACTGCAAAATTTTCTTTTTTTTTATTTACTTAACTCAATGAATAATGCTTTTTAAAAATGAATCTAGTTTATAATAATACTTTTCCTTGATATTATTATTATTTTTTTTTTTGTAAAGAAAAAGAACTAAAGGATTTATTACAAAAAAAAATTTTGTTTGTTTCATTTAATACATTATACATTTATATAACTAAGAAGTAATTCACAAAAGTATGGCAAATTAAAATGATGTTATCAAATAGCTATCCTGCATTTTATATTATTATTACATTGTGGTTTTTTTAATAAATAGTTCAAAGAAGTGCCTATTATAGCACTCATAATATGATAATAGAATGGAATGAAGGAGATACTAAAAACTTTACCACCGGAATTTGAAATGAGATACGACAAAGTTTTTAACAGCCAAGATAATAAGAAAATTAGTTCAAAATTGGTTCCTGAACTATTAAGATCATTAAGACCAAGATATAATCCTTCATATATACAATTAAAGAATGGCTTCGATCATTACATAAACATTGAAGAGACAGCCATTTGTTAATTATGAAAAGAACATAGGATCAGACCAATAGACGTGTTCATAATAACAATTGTGTCGCTGAGGTATGAAATCCATTAATAAATTTGCATTTATATCACTTTAACATTCTACTAACATTTACTTTACTAACGTTTTGTAAACATTTAACATTCTGTTCATATAGAAAAGACCCAAAGAAGGTATATTGTAGCAGTATCTTAGCAAATCAATAATGATATTAAAACTTTTAGGGAGGAATTTAATAATATGAGATTCAATGACCTAAAAAATGATACGAATATGAATAGGGCACCTCGTCTTAATGATAAAGATGTTGAGACATTAAGCAAGGCCCTGTATTATTCTAAGAAGGCATATGAAGAAGCTCTTTTAGCTAAAGAATTGTCACTTTGAACAGAAAACGTGATCAAGGGGATTTGACGGTATGAACAGGAAATTTGACGACGTCAAAAGCGATATGCAAATTTTTTAATTCTCAAGATAATCGATGACAAACACGATCATTGAAATGAATTTCTCAACAACCGTTAAAATACAAATAATTAATGACAAAAAAATCGCCCAACCCTAACGATAAATTAGATAAATTACAGGATGTTATTGACGGTATTTGTAATCAATCGAAAAAAATAAAAAAAAAAAGAATTAGATTGTTAGATTTTAGGAAATTGGTGTTATATGGTATGTATACAATTTAAATTAAAGGATAAAATAATTTTATTTATTATTAATATATTTTATTTATTTTACATGAAAAAGGATGAATTATATTACGAGTTGTCATTTCTTTACCAGTCATACTCCGGTCACTATAAAGAGAAAAACAAAAAATATTTATTTCATTGTAGATAAAGGTTGTCCAAAGACATACATGTGTATGAAAATTTTAAAGTAATTTTAAAAAGAATTTTCCAAATATAGAATTCTGATGAATCAGTAATATTGAAATATGGAGTGAAAATTTAAACGGAGATAGACGATTATTCAACATTGTCATATTACCATGACCAGGGTTGGGAATTGTACTAGTACAGTACTAGTACAGTATAGTACAGTACTAAGTACTGTACTTGTACTTGAAAATTTAGTACAAATACAATTTTATTACATACTATTAATAAATTTTATTGGTTAATTTTATAAATATAAACAATATTGATCACATGATATCTACCTAAAATGGTTAAATTATATCCTAAAAAGTAATAATTGTATTAGTACAGTGTACTTAGTACTTGTACGAAATTTTTGCTAGTACAGTACGTACTAGAATTTTGCTAGTACAGGTGTACTACCACAACCCTGACCATGACCAGTGATGTAACTCTTCTGTCATGAAGTGAATGATTATTATTATTATTTAGCCAACCGACATGATATATTATGGGTAATTTGTTTGTTGATCAAATTTAAATTATCTAAAATAATTTCTTAAAATATTAATATTAATTTTATTGGCAAAAGATGGAGGAAGAGGTAGTGGCGGTAATGGTAGTCATGGTGGTCATGGTGGTTATAAAGATTGAAAATAATCTCTCTACGAGGTTCAAAGTGAATATTATTCTACTAAAAATGTCAGTTATATCACTCATATGTGTAACTAAGAGTCATAAAGTGCAAAATCAAGACATTTCAAATAGCAATTGATACTATGTTACAGATAAATTATTAATGTTGTTTAGGCATTCTATTTATCTATTGGAAATTCAGTCATCCTTCCATTTGGAGAATATGATATCATGAAGATTAGCTTCGTATTCATTTCATCTCAAGATAATAATGATGGTCCAAAATCGAGGTTGCTGCTAAGACGGAGATGATATCATTTTTGTTAATCAAAAATTTTCTTTTCAAGATCATGCTTATGAAGGTTTATTTATTTTAATTCTATTATTTTTATAAAAGATACAGTATCTATTTTCTAATTTTTTTTTTTTAGAAATTTAATATAGCATTTTTCAATTGTAGATTTTTTTCATCATTTAATTCATATAATGAAACAACATTACAATTAAACACCTTACCAAAACTTTTACATAAATTTGGTAAAACTTCTTCTACACTGATTTCCTCCATCAAATCATTCTTATTTTTTAAATTATTTAATTCTTTTGAAATAGAAGTCATTTTCTTGTCTTGTAATCCACATGGCATTATATGTTCAAACCAATTTAAATCTGTATTACAATTTAACGCAAAACCATGTGATGTTATATATCTTTGTACTTGAATTCCTATTAAAATATTTATAACAAAATTATGAGAATTTTTTTTTTTTTGGTAAAACAAGGTTAAAATCAAAATATTATATTACCTATTGCACATAATTTTTCATCATCATTAATCCAAACTCCTGTATTCTTGGTGGTTTTAGCCTTAATTCCATATGTTGAACATGTGTCTATAATCACTTGTTCTATAGCTTCAACATAACATCTTACCGAAAGCTATCATTAAAAGAAACTATTAATTAACGTTTAATAATATTATTCTTAATGAATTATATATTTTTTTACCTTAAAATTTCGTATATTCAAAATTGGATATCCAACCAATTGTCCAGGTCCGTGAAATGTAACTTGACCACCTCTTAGCGTCTATTCAATAAATAAATAATTATAAATCAAACATATTTTATTTAAATATTTAATAATCGAAACACCTTTCAAATATGATATTTTACTTCATAATATTCCGCACCAAATTTTTTTAAACGGATTCTTTCATTTTCACTCTTCTCTTTTTCTCTTCTACCAGTTGTATAAGTAGGAGGATGCTGGACCAACAATAATACGTTGCCTAATTTATTTTCTATTCTATTTTTTACTAAATAATTTTGAAGATTTAATGCTTTTATGTATGTTATTTGATTCAAATAAATGTATGGAAGGACTAATGAATGCGAATGTATTAATGGAAACGTGCATGTTGATTTATATACTTTTTGAAGTGAATTAAAAGAATACATTTAAATTTTTTTTTCATATATTATTATACAGATAAATTATCAATTATACATTAAATTTCATTGGTTAATATTGTTATAGCTCACCGCAGCAAGGTAAATACTAGTTAATAATAATACTATTAATTCATATCTTTTCATATCTTTGTTGATCTTTTTTCTTATTAATATAACTATCGTGCTTATTCATTGAATCTATCAATGATGTTCTTAATATAAATATTCTCCGAGACTTATATTGCTTTGCAAATAAGTATGTAATATTATAAATATGTAAAAAGTTTATAAAAGTTTATAAGTCGAAATTACAACAAAAAAAACCCAAGTTCCTACAATGCGATCTATATAAAAAAATTGAAAATCTCATTTTTTATCTGCTTTATCTACTTTATCTGCTTTATCTGAGTCTGTCGCCCTTGAAGTACCCGGTTTCTCTGGGAGTGAATGATGTCTGTATTCTTTTTTTGAACGTTTTTTAGGCTGATCAGAATTGTCTTCCTGTTCATCACCATCTGAACCACGTCTTTTTTCCTTACGCATGCGTTTCGAATTTTCAGGAATATCTTTCCGTTCGTCAGCTAACCCTCGCCTATTTTTTGAATGTTCTTGATTAGCAATATAAATACGATTACGTTTTTTATTAGGCTCATGGTCACGCTGTCTTTCTGGACTTCGTGCTCTCTTTGACTTTTTACGTTGTTCTCTTCGATCATACCCTTGACGTTTTTCTGTCGACGTGATTTTTGAAGACGTTTCCTCTATTTTATTATGTTCTTTCTTCTCTTTTGGTTTATTACGCCGATTGTACTCATGACTTGACTCATATTGTGGTAAGCTGATAATAAAGATCACATTAGAACACTATAATACTATACGAATATGGTTTGTAACTTACTCTTTAGGTTCTGCAGGTAAAGGATCTGTCCAGAGATAATCATGGTCCAATGCTTGAAATGCATTTAGCCGTTGTCTTGGATCAAGTACAAGTAATTTATCCATTAAATCAGCTGCTTGTTCACCATATCTTAAAAATCAACAACTTTAGATTATTAGTCTGATCAAATAAATCAAAATTTGTTTTTTTTTAAAAAAAAAAAAGATTATTCTCTCAACCTTTCGTATTCAGCTATTACTTTTCGTGGAGATTCTTTTTCAGGCTCGACTTGCAGATCTGATATTCCCAAGTCTTTAAAGGTATCAGTTGTTGGTGTCCCGCACAATTTATAGATAATTTCTAACTGATGAATATCAGAATTACCTATAATTATATTAAAGCAATAAACGACACTTAGTTATTGTTAATATCTCTGATATGGGCTACACTATATTTTATAATTTTGTTAAAATTGACAATAACCCATCAGTATTGGTTGTCTTTTTAACATCTCGCCAAAAACGCAACTAGAAAAAAAATTTCATAAATGAGTATAATGTATAATAATTAAGAACAGTAAAAATTTTATTATCTACTTACCCAATTGCCCACATATCAATCGCGGGTGTATATCGTTTTGCACCGAGTAATAGTTCTGGTGATCTATACCACCGCGTTACCACGCAACCTGTTAATGATTTATCGTTTATTATCGGACGGGAAAGGCCAAAGTCTGCAATCTTAAGAATGCCGTTATTATCAATTAACAAATTGGCAGCTACAAGAAAAATTAATTGTACAATTGTGTGAGTGTGAATTAAAATTTAATTAAAATTCGATTTATTATTTTTTTTTTTCTATAGTTTTTATAGAGAAATACCTACCTTTCAGATCACGATGTAATATTCGTTGCTAATTAAGAAAATTCAAATTAAATATAATATCTTCAAGATTATTTTACAAATTAAATTAAAACTACACACTTGATGCAGATAAAAGGTCCCTTCTAATAATTGCCTTAGATAACATTTGATTTGTGGAGCAGCGAATTGGACATCTTTATTTTCTAGGAGCCCAGCTAGATCGTGATCCATATAAGGAAAAACCATATATATTGAAGGTTGATCTTCCTTATCACCTTTAAAAATAAATTTCTTGGTTACGATTTGCGTTTTTTAATAATTAAACTGAAGAAAATTTACCAAGAAAATTTACCATATTCAAATGCCATATCACTCAATGTGACCACATTTGGGTTACTAAGTTGCCGGAGGATCTTGATCTCTCTAATCGCAGTAATTGGAATGCCTTCTTTTTCATTATGCATCAAGATCCTTTTCAGAGCAACAACGTTCTTTGTCTTTTTATGAATGCCTTTGTGTACCTCACTATTATGTAATTGTAATTAACGAATTACAGTGAATAGACGCAAATGTAACTTCGGAAACAAGTATTGGAGATCTAATTATAAACTTGTATATTTTCATACCCAAATGTTCCCTCACCAAGTTTATCCTTTATCTCATAGTCAGTTATTGAAGAACACCCTACAAATGTGTGATCACTAAAATAAAAATAAAATTAATATATTAAATAATTTAAAAAAATGAATAAATGAACTCTTGTAAAGATCAAAATATATTTCATACGGATAAAAGTTATGGGGAGGGCTATAAGATTGTACATTTTTCGGTGTTTTAATTCTATAGGGGGAACCGGCGGGAGTAACAACACTACAGCCTCCATTTTCGTCACTGTATATTCCTTGAGCTTCATTGCCAGAATCATTGAAAGAAAAATGTTCCTCTTGCGATGAAGGCCTTGAAGGTGCATCCGCAGGACTAATTGGATGCTCATTTGTTTTATAAGTAGATGAGGGAGAGGCTGATAGGTTTAAAGCATCGTCAGCTGTCATTATGTATTTTGAAGGTATAACTAAAAATTAGAGAGTTTTTGCTATTATGAAGGAAGGAAATATTTATTTTTTTTTTTATTTCAATAAATGGAGAATTGAACTGAAGATACTCTGAAGCTCAAATATTTATACAGAACATTATCAAACTATCATAAGTCACGTGCTTTGATGTAATCTTAAATCAACATAATTACTAACTGGCTAAATTACTCATTAAAAATATCATTAAATATAGTATTATATGCATAAACTAATAAACTTAGTACGGAGATTTTCCAATTCTTTCACATAAAGTTTTCCAATAAGTTTCATGATGATATTCAAAAGCGTTCGATCCGCCATACTCCGACTCTAATTGATTTTCGTTAATAAAATCTAAACAATTAACCCATTGGGCGTTTTGAACCGTTTTACCAGGATTATGTATATCTACGAACTTAATTTTGTTTTTTGTAACGGGATCAATAAAGGGAGATAATAATTTAAAAAATCCCCAAAAATACCAAGGAGCTAAAAAAAAAAAAAAAATGAATTTCATTTAATTTTTTTTAAAGAAAGAAATTAAATATAAATATATATATTTATATATTCACCATTAATAATCAAAGAATATCCTAATCGTTCAGGATAATGAGAACTCAAGGCATGCATAAATTCTTTAGCAACTCCCAAACCGGGACTACTTCGAGCGGTACATTTATTAAAATCAATAATAATTACAATGTTTTCTACATTTTCCGGCATTATTGTAATTGCGCTTTCGAAATTAAATATTACAAAGCGTAATTGATCAGGACCAGGTAAAGTATTCTCCAATCCAGGTCTCAAATAAAAAATTGGGCGACCATTATTATCAAATCCATTTAAATGTTGTTTACCTGTAACAGCCTTAATTAAATACATAAAAAATTCATCAGCAGTTAGCGTTTATAAATACTTTTTATATAGTAATCATTAATTAATACCTCTGCTTCAACCGTTTTAGGATCAATATCCGAAGGTTTATATTCTCTTCTCCATTCTAGACTATATTTTATTCTATTCTTTGCATCTGTTAAATTCCACTTAGCTGCTCGCAAATTACGTTTTAAGCAAGCATCAGATGCCCAATTTTTTTCTTCTTGATAACGATCATCTTCCTTTGGGAGTAAAATGCTATCTACGTATTCTCTGACTTTACTAAATTTTTCTTCCTGTTCTGCAGTAAGTTCAGGAGGAACGGGTAAAGTTACATTATCAGGACAAGTTAAAATTGGAATTTTGGTATATAGGGATTTAATATCTGTCTCTTTATTATTTGTCATTTTAAATTTTTAAAAGTAAACATTAAAACAGTAGAAAATTTGAAAAAGAAATATTCGGACATTTTTATACTTTCTTAAGAGATACGGAAAATAATAAATCCTTTTTTTTTTGATGCAGCTATAAATACCGTGCAAACATTACTGTAACACCTAAGCACCTAAGATTATAGGGGTCGTTGTCACACATTATTCCTCGTTTATAAGGTAAAGTTTTCTTTAAGATGCATAAGTTCCGTATCCAATTAATTTCCTTTGAGTTGTAATATAATCCCTTTAATGTCGAAAATATACCAGCAACGAGATGAATAAATAGAATAAATAAGTATTTTTTTTATTATCATTTTATGATGGAGCTTGTCAACCTCACTTTTTTAAATATGAATTTCAAACTGAAGTTGATCAAGTCTTACGTAAGATGGTTCGAGATTCAAATTTTTTAATCACATTATTTGAAAAATTGTATTAAACGTGGGGATTTCCGATCCAGATTTCTTCCAGCATCTGAAAGTTCTTTACGAGCGAAACCAATAAAGAAATAAAATAAAACCTCCATAAATGCGTAGTAGGTGGACATTGTACAACGGAACTGCGCATTGAAGTATCTCGGAAAGTCTAGTTGTCTTTGTAAGTTTAAAAAGAACATCGAGAATCCCCCAACAAGGGGAGAAGATTGTGACTTTTCCTGGAGAGTTGTATTCCCGTTAAAATTCCAGGAGTTGCAACGGTAGATATAATTGCGGGAAACTTAGATATATCGAGAATTTTATGAAATTCTTTGTAAATGCTTGATATTCTTATGCTTTTTATGCTTTTATATCTGTTTTAATTTAGCACATTAATGATTCATTGTTAATGCAACTTTGGAAATTCATGATAATAATATTAAACAAGAAAAAGTCTTATCAACCTTTTGGAAATAAAAAAAATACATCCGTAATTTATTACTTGTCAAAGTACAATCGGAATTCTTAATGTCTGAATCAAATATTTAAATATTTAGATAATGACTAATTTTCATAGGGGAGAAGACCTTTGTAGTTTGTGATTATAAAAGGTGATCGGGCAAGAATTTATTTTTAGAACTAAAATGAAAAATAATAGAATTCATAAATCAACTTTTTTTTCTCCTTTGTTTTCTCAATTTTCTTAGCTTTCTTGACTTTTTGGACTGACATCTTCAACGCCCAAACCGGTTTCTTCAAGTTCAAGGAAGTCGCATCATGCTTTCAACATTCCTCTTCAAAGAATTTCCAAAACATTTCAGACATCATGTCAAGGTCAAACACGTGACTATAACAGTCTAATAAACGCCTTACAAATGATGATATATGATTGAACAAAATCATAAGAGAATGATGTTATAAAGATGTTATAAACTTTTCTTCATTCTGAAGTGAAAGGATTATTTTTTAAAAATCGTCCATCTGAGTCTTATTGGGTTTAAATCATGTTCTTTGGCACCTTTCTTATTTCTTTATTGTTGCGCCTCATCATTGAGATTATTACTGAGACCATTGGCGGTCACTTCCAGTTGTCTCCATCATCTGAATCAATATAATCTTTAATAAATTTAAGTTGGTTAAATATTCTCTGAGATCCTATTATCCGTTATCCTTGTTCGTGATATCGATTTTTACATAGGTGATATCCATTATTATTGGTAGTTTTATGTTAAGCTGAAACATGAATGTCGTGAACTTGTTTGTTTTGTGTTGGATATGCAAAAATTATCAAATGTTGATAATATTCGATTTGCACAAAATTTCCATAAGAAATGCTACCTGGATCTTAAATGTCCACAAGAGGCAATCATAAGAAATTGAATTATTTGACATTTTGACTGATTAAAGGTTTTTTTCATCGATTCCAATTCTCTATTATTTTTTATAAATAAAATAAAAAATATAAAGAATGATAAGAAAAGAAAGAAAAAAATAAAGAATTTAATAAAAAATTAAAAAATAAAAGAAAATAAATAGTAGAAATATCAAGAATTAAAAGAAAAGATAAAAGATTTTAATATTTTGTATTAGTTATTTACGGGGCGCATGAAAAGTAGGTTTGAAGGAGGGAAAAGAAATAGGTAAGGATATTAAGGTGACAAATTGCGTGACGACCGTATAATGATTTTTTTTTTTAGAAATAAAAAATAATGTTTTATTACACAAGGTTGACATGTGATTCCTATATTTTAACCAATATTGTATATATTAAAAAATAAACGTGTTTCACAGAATTTTGCTAAGTTAAATAATCATTACATCATATTTTTTTGCGCCAATTTAAAAATAAGTAGTATGTTTTGTAAAATTTATGCCGCGCCATCATTACTTGGTAAGGTTATGTATTTTATTCTTTTATCCTTTAATTTTTTAATAGCAAAAGAAAGATTGCAAGTGAAATTATAGTGAATGCAATCAATGGTCAAATGTTTTTATTTGTAAAAGCTATGCTACATATTATAAATTAAATAATCAGGTATTAATCTGTCTCTTATACACATCTAGATGTGTATAAGAGACAGGGTATTAATTATGTACTTTGTCCTAATAATAAATTACATATTCAATAATAAAATAAATATTAACAATTATATATATACATATGATAATATGATGATTTTTTTTTTTTTTTTAAAAAAAAAAAAAAATAAAAAAAATAAAAAATGTTTAAATTCTATATAACAAAGGAATTTTTTTTTAAAAAAAAAATTATTGAATTATTTCGCGAATTTTTTTCGTATGTTAGTCCATCAAAAATATTATGACAATTTTTGTCCAAAACTTCCGGTATCTGTATGCTTTTCATACAGACTATACTCGTTTTTTCAACAGGGAAATGATTTTATCAACGATGTAGTCAAATGATTATTAGAGAGGAGGATCATCTAAAGAATTGCAGTTGTATCAGTAAGTGATGAAACATGAATACAAATATATCTCCTGAATGATTTGGAAATAGAAAGAATATTAAAGTTCTTTACCATCTGGAAATTCGCGGTTATCATCATCATCTGCTGCAAAGTTAATAGCATGAGTATCAGAATAGAACATTATCGAACAAGAAAAAAATTTTCTTACCATCCAGAATTTCATGGTCATCATCATCTGTTGCAAAGTTAAAATTGGCGTGAGTATTAAAGATAGAACTTGAATAAATAAGAAAAAAAATGTTACCGTCTGGAATTTCATAACCATCGTCATCTTTATGTTAAAATGATAAAATAGGGTAAGTATCAGGATAGAGTATGGACAAGTAAGAAAAAAAGAATTGTATAAGTTTCATACCATCCGAAAGTTCCTTACTATCATCCGGAAGTTCTTTGCTAATGACTGTAAAGTAAAAATGCGTGAATGTCAGAACGGAGCACGAACAAATTAAAAAAGTATATAAAATTTCTTACCATCCGGAGATTCTTTGTTATCATTCAAAAGTTCTTTGCTATCATCCAGAAGTTCTTTGCTAATGTCTGTAAAGTAAAGGTGCGTGAGTATTAGGACTGAGATGAATAATTAAGATGAATACAAAAGTTCATACCATTTGGAAGTTCTTTGCTAATGTCTGTAAAGTAAAAGTGCGTGAATGTCAGAACAGAGCACGAACAAATAAAAAAGTATATAAAAATTTCTTACCATCCGGAGATTCTTTGTTATCATTCAAAAGTTCTTTGCTATCATCCAGAAGTTCTTTGCTAATGTCTGTAAAGTAAAGGTTCGTGAGTATTAGGACTGAGATGAATAATTAAGATGAATGTGAAAGTTCATACTATCTGGAAGTTCTTTGCTAATGCCTGTAAAGTAAAAGCGCGTGAGTGGATTGAGCATGAAAAATTATTAAAAGAATGCAAAAGTTGTTTACCATCCGGAAGTTCTTTACTATCATCTTGAGATTCTTTGCTAATGTCTATATATAGTAAAATGCATGTCAGCATAGGACATAAGCAAAATAAGAAAAAAAATTGTAAAGATTCCTTACCGTCGGGACTATCGTTATTATCTACAAATTAAAAAGATGAATGAATATAAATATAGAATAAACAAATAAATAAAAAAGTAGATTTCCATTACCATCTAAAAGTTCATCATCAATATCTGCAAAGCAAAAACACGTTAGGTGTTAAGATGAAAATGAGAAAATAAGAAATACTGTATGTAGTATAAATTTTCTTACCTGGAAGTTCACGATCTTGATCATCATCAACTTCTGCAAAAGTTAAAATTGGATGAGTTTCAATATAGGGCACGAACAAATAAGATATGATTTAAGAATTTACCTGCAGATGGTTCTTGCGGTTTAGGAGGTGGATTATATATTTTTGCACGATATCTTCTGTCCTCTTTGCTTTTTTCATCATCAGCTTCCTCAAATTGTTTCGCTTCCTCATCATTGCGGCTCACCTCAGTAGGAAACCAACCAAGAACGGATTGCCATTCCATTATTTTTTCTTTAATATCTAGCGCAGTTGGCCGTTTTTGTGGATCACTATTCCAACAATTTCTTATCAAAGTTGCATAACATTCAGGCATTTCTTTGGGAATGTTAGGTCTTCGACCTCTCTTGATCTGATCGGCAAGTGCTTCATCATCGGCGAGATCTGCATAAGGTTTTTCACCAGTTCCCACTTCCCATAAGATCATTGCAAAGCTATAAATATCAGATGCTTCAGAGTATGGATTTTTATTTAATACTTCAGGAGCAATGTAAGGTGTGACACCAATAATTTTTTCCGTTTTTTCTTCACTGGCTTGTTTAGATAACCCCAAGTCGGTAATTCGTGAGGGATACAGAAGATCTTTGAACTGCAAAATATTTCCAGTATGGAGATCACGATGTGTCATACCAGTCACATGAATTATTTCTAAGCCCGCGACTATGTTTCGAAGAATATCAAGTTTCCGACGCCAATATAATTTAGCTTTGTTATTTTGAAGATATGTTCGTAAATCACCATTTTCAGCGAATTCCATTACTATTGCATAATCTTTTGTATCCGGATTTTGAGTGATACCGAGATAGCTAATAAGATGACGACTAGCACATTTAAAATATGCTTCAAGCTGCAAATTGAATTGTTTAATAAGTTAATTAAAAAAATGGTGGCATAATACAATTAATGACATTAATAACGTTGAAATATGTATATGATTATATAATGATATAATACCTCAGTGATAAAATTATCACTAATATTGTCCTTCATAGTTTTTATAACAACTTGCATTTTTCCTTGTCTATGCCATTGTTTTTTATTATGATTCCATCGTACAACATAACCATTTATCCAAGTTGCCAGAGATATTGTTCCAAAACCACCTTCAGCAAAATCTTTTTTGTCTATTTCAAGATCTTCATAGGGAATCCATTCAAGAAAAAGGATAGTGTTAATAAGGGAAGGCCTAACGTATTTAACTAATTTGTCAATTTTTTCGTTTCCGCATGACCAATTTTCATATTCTTTTTGATATCGCTCTTGAATACAAGGTTGGCAAGGGAGTTTGTCTATTTTACACTGATTACATTTTGAACAGTTGTGCGGCATTGGCCTACGTAGAAAATCAAGATATGAAAAACAAGAACGTGCTTTGACTCCTTTCTTTCCTATTGTGAAAGGATTTGTAAAATACATGTTTTTAAAATTAAATAAGACAAGAAGAGAAACGAAGAATTATTTTATAGGTTACCCAATTTATAAATTCATTAACATACACAATTTGATAACAAATTCTTATTGGAAGGAAGAAATTTCTGAACATGCTACAAATAGGAGATTCCTTTTTTGGAATGGCATGATTGGGATGAATTGATCAACAAAAACAAATAATTCTTTATAAAGTTTCTTTATTTCTCAATTTCATTTTTAAGCTGAATAAGCACAATTGCCACAAAAAGTTTATAATTAATCATTTTCATTCGAATAATAAATAATAAATTTAGTTATTTTTTTTAGGATAAGGTGATTTATTTAATTATTTACGGAATCCAAGGCCGCTCATATTGCTATTATGTGTCACACTGTGAAGTTATCCGTTGCACAATTTAATTACAATGAAAAAAATTTGGCGTTTTAAGGAGAGAACATTCTGGGCAAAACCACAGAAATATCCAAATTTGTCAAATTGGCTTAAATTCTTTAAATTTTTGTTTATTTTTTTATTTACATACACGGAGTGAGTTTATGCGAGTGTTACAGAATTGCATGCATTGTTGGATTTGTTTGTAAATTAAATTAAATTAATTAAAAATATTTAGTGTTTACATTTTTTTATATAAATAGAATATATAATAAAGCCAAATCTTAAAAGAGTATTATTGGTTATTTACCAGCAAAATAATTTTTATTATATTTTCGATCGTTGAAATTATAAAAGATTATATATTATAATAAAATCTTTTTCATCAATTCTTTTTATTTGGTATAATGAAGACAAATTTAACAAGCAAATGATTATTACTATAATTATAATTCTTTATTATATAAAAAAAGGAAAAAGTTTCAGAATTTGTAGAATTTGTTTGGAAATGGAGATCAGCTCATCAGCATGTGTAACAAATTTATTTTTTCTAGAGAGTGGAACGGTATGAATGGATGCCGTGTTCCATTTAATAGATATCATATAAATGACTGAATAGATTTTAAAAATTATTTAATTATTTTATTTAATTATTATATTGTAAAAGAAAACAATTATCATGAAAGAAACATTTTCTAGTTTTACCGTTGATATGTCAGAGTGCGTTAAAGATCATGGAATAAATATTATACAAACAACCGCAGATATTATTCAAAATTTAGAACCACATTTTGATATAGCAATTAAAATAGCATCTTATATATTAGTTATTTATGATAAAGCTAAAACTAATAAAAAAATTTGTAGAGTATTTGCTGATAGAGTAGATTTAGCTTTAACATCAATAAAATATTTACAAAGGCATATTGATAAAAATATTGAAAAATTTCATGAAAAAAGTTATTTTGAAAGTTTTATGCATTTTATTGAAGTATTAGAACATATTAAAAATTTTGTTGAAGAAGTTTCTGAATTTAAAGGTTTTAAAAAATTTTTCGTTGCTAGTGTTGTTAATCAACAACTTAATGAAATTAGAGATGATTTTGATAATTGTTATAAATCATTACAACTTGCTATTGCTATTGATGATGTTGTTAATCGTGAAAATGAAAATGAAGAGATAAAAAGTGATTTAAGTCAATTAAAAGGTTTTTTTGAAGATATTAAACATAGTTTTAATATAACTGATCAAAAATTATCAATTATTACTGCAAAAATTGAAATGTTGGAAAAAAATTCTTCGATTTTGGATAAATCGAAACCGCCTACAATTGGTCCGGAAAATCTTATAGTACCAGAAGATATCATAGAACGTAATAGTGTTGTATTAAGAAAATATAGAAATTTGGATGTCGCTTGTAAGCCAACTAAATATTCAACTGACGATAATAATCCAGAATCAAAAAAAGCTGGTGCAACTTTAACGATTTGGAATGAATTAAGTGAATGTCCTTATATAATTAAATTTCTTGGAGTTTCAAATTTGGATATTTATAATGAAAATGTTACGGTTCTAGAATGGGCTGAATTTGGAGATTTAAAAAGTCTTTATGAGAGTAAGAATCTTAATTGGAAACTTAAATTAAGTATGGCGAGAGATGTTTTTCGTGGTCTTTGTTTCTTGAATCATATTCGTAAGTTCCATTTATTTTATTAATTGCCGGTATTTTACGTCCGTGAACTAATTTCATATGAATAATAGGTGTTTTACATCATGATGTTAGATGTGAAAATATTTTGGTAAGTTCTTTGATTCATCAATATACTCTAATTACTCTATGTTGAATTTATATTTAATTTATATATTTTAAATACTGTAGGTGGTTGAAGGATTTAAATGTAAAATAACAAATTTTACTTTAAGTCGTAAAACACAATATGTAACTTCCAAAGTACATGATGGTGAGAGTGTGAAACAAATGATGCGTTGGATGGCTCCTGAGAAACTTAAACCTTATCAAAAATCAAATCAAAATACGAAGATAGAACCATATACTTATGCATGTGAAATGTTTAGGTATGTCGAACGAATTGGCTAAAAAAGATTAAAAAAAATAAATCTTTTAAAATTCTTTCCTTTTTTTTTTTTTATAGTTTTGGAATGCTTCTTTGGGAACTTTCTTTTAATAGAGTACCATATAAAGATATGGAATATGAATATGATGAAATAGTTGAACATGTTATGAGTGGAAAACGAGAAACGTTAAACTTTGTAAATTGTCCACCTGATATAATTGATGGTTTCACCGAAATTATTACATCGGCATGGCAGCATGAAAATCGTAAACGTCCATCAACCCAAAAGGTCTCAAAAATTCTTGAATCATTATATAAATCTCATGAAAATAATTTGTTAAATTTAAATGAAGAAACAAATTATGAACCTCAAAAATCTCAAGAAAGTTCTTTTACTACCTCTACCATTTCTACCAATAATAACGCTATTGAAGTTGTTAATAAACATGTCATTGATCTTTTACCATTATCAGATGGTATTGAACATCATAATACAAAGGCTAAGAGAACAAAATCAAAACAAGATTATAAAATTTGTTGGGAATGTTTCAATGCACATGCAAATATTGGTAATAAAACGGCTATGTATTGGAAAGGTCTTTATTTATGGAAAGGTTTTGTTGAAAAGAATCAAATTGAAGCAAAAAAATTATTTAAAATTGCAGCTGACGCTGGAATGGCTGATGCTCAATTGGAATATGCTTTTGCTTATGATAGTAAGAATCTTAAAAATCCTGATTTACCTTTTGATAAAAAAGAATGTTGGAAATATTTAAATATGGCCGCTGAAAATAATAATTCTATAGCATTATACCACGTAGGTATTACTTATTATAACGGAAAAATGGGAGTAAAACAAGATAAAGAAAAAGGTATTGGATATCTTAAACTTTCCGCTTTACAAGATAATCCTAAAGCAATTGAAACATTAGATAAACACGGAATTAATCTTTAATAGTTAGTTATCTGTTATCTAAATTTCTTTATTTTATTTTGTTTATATTTATTAAATTATAAATTATAATAGTCTTTATATGTTAACATTAAATAAAACAAATCATATCTTTATAAAAAAAAAAATTATTATCTAGTATTGTTTGTTTATAATTTATAATTTTACAAGTTGATGATAAATTTAAAGGTACTGGAAATTACAAAATTATTGATTGTCCTTATCATCTTCGGGTTCTTCAAACTCTTTAGATTCTTCGAGTTCTTCAGGTTCCTCAGCTTCTTCAAGTTCTTCAAGTTCTTCAGATTCTTCTGGTTCTTCAGGTATAAAGAGACTAATACTTGCAGAGCCTAATAAAAAAGAAGAAAAAAACACGTTATCATCCATTAGATTCTTGAGTTTGAATAAAACAGACTAAACTATAAAGTTATTTACCTCCAGCAATTTCAGGTGTGATCTCATGACGTTTGAATTTCCGACTAGTATAAACAGGAGTCTGTGGAGTGATAGTTTGACTATATATAGCGCCGCTATAACTCTTGTCATTCTTGTTTTTGGCGTCATCTGCTGCTTCAAATTGCGATGTTTCAGAATGTTCCCTACTACTAGAAGTTGGAAACCAACCAAGCACTAATAACCATTCATAGATCTTCTCTTTAATCTGACTGGCAGTTGGACGTTGTTTAGGATCATCATCCCAACACTGATTCACTAACGTGCTGAAACATTCTGGGATTTCACTAGCAGCTGTTTCTGGAATGATGGGACGCACACCATTATGAATATCCACGACAAGTGAAGTATCATGAGAACGATCAGCGAAAGGTCGACTACCACATGAAATTTCCCATAGAATCATGGCGAAACTGTATATGTCCGAAGCTTGGGTGTATGATTGACCTCGTAAAATTTCAGGCGCCATGTATGGTAAAGTACCTTGAATCTCACCCGACGCGATATTTGGAGTATATAAACCAAGATCATTTATACGAGCATTTACAAAGACGTTTTTGACTTTGAGAATGTTGCCAGTGTGTAAATTGCGATGAGTTATACCAGAATCATGAATGATTTCAAGGCCAGAAATTACATCTCTTATAAGTTCTAATTTGCGACGCCAGTAAAGCTTGAACTTGTTGGCTGCCAAAAATTGGCGGAGATCACCCGGGTCGGCATATTCCATTATAATTGAATAATCACTTGTAGCTGTTTCTTGTGAAATTCCATAGTAGGTTATATGATATTGACTTGCACATTTGAAATATTCGTCAAGCTTTAAAATTGAAATATGTAATTTTTGTAATTAATTCATTTTCGGTTTGGTTCAAGTATAAATTGAAATAAAAAAATATTCTTACCCCGGCAACATAATCATCAAGTTTGCTCTGGGAATCTTTTAAAGTTTTGATAGCTACTCTTGTCTCACCAGTTCTTATCCAACGTTTTTCGTCATGACTCCATCTTACGTATTTTCCATCTAACCAAGTGGCTGTAGAAGTTGTTCCACCACCACCTTTTGTCAAATAAGTAACATCCTTCAAACGGTCAAAAGGTATCCATTGAAGAAAGGAAATATTATCATCTTCAGAATATCTGATATACTTAACGAGGTTGTCAAGTGTTTCATTCCCACTAGAAAAATCTTTTTGAGTTTTTTCATAATGATGCTCAAAGCATGACTTGCAAAATTTTTCGTTTAAACATTTATAACAAGTGTCACATTCATGGGGTGAAACCTTTATTCTCTTAGTTGTAGGTTCTTCACCCGAAAGTTTATGTTTGGAAGCAGAAGTAGTAGGTTCCATGGTATAAAATTTGAGAATTGGGTAACTGAAAAAATTATGATTTTATAATTTTGAAAATTTGGTTGAACAAATAGCTTTTTTTATAGGAATTGGAAGTATCGGAAATAACGGAAATAACGTACCGTAATTTTAATAAATTCGGAGATTTTGAAAGTGACCTAAATGAATATGTTAAACGAAACATGGAAGTTTTCAATGAAGCGTAGTTTTTTTTGGAAATATTTAAAAGAAAAAAAAAAAAATTTTTTTTTTCACTCTGTTTAAATTACCTTAATTAGACTTGAAGGAAATAAAAAAAGAAAAAGAAGAGAAAAAAGGAAAAATTTTGAAAGTGACCTAAATGAATATGTTAAACGAAACATGGAAGTTTTCAATGAAGAGTTTTTTTTTTGGAAAAAAAAAAAAAATTTTTTTTTTCACTCTGTTTAAATTACCTTAATTAGACTTGAAGGAAATAAAAAAAGAAAAAGAAGAGAAAAAAGGAAAAAATGAGAAAGAAACCGTATATATTCAAAAATTGCATGTTTATATGCTTCATTTTCCAGTGCATGAATTGAAACGTAACACGATGATCCAATGAAACCAATGAATTTAAGAAATTGATGTTCAAAATAACGACCTTATTTGGCTACTAGAGGGATTTTCCAATCAAAAGTGGAATATTTTCTTTTCCGGAATTTAGTTCCTTAATGATTTATACGCATGCAGTTTATTCTTGCATTATAACAAATTTGGTTTAATTGAAATAAAATAATGAAATAAATGATTGTTTCGCAATAATTAGTAAGGAAATAAATCAATGAAGTAAGAATCGCTCAGATAAATGGCGCATAAAAATTAAAGAATCGTCTAAAAAGAAATATGAAAATAGAAGGCTCGCCTTAAAAAGAAAAAATAAAGATCGTCTGAAAAGAAAGAAAAGCTCTTGAGATGTTCTCAACAAAAATTAGCCGTCAAATTATCCGACCGAAAATTATATTTTATCATCATATTATAACAAAATATAATTAATTACTTGGATATCTTTAGTTGAAAATATTTTTATTGATTATCTGATTATCTCTGTTATATCTGATTATCTCGTTATGAAGAACGCGTAAAACCGCGTATAAATTATTACGCGAAAACAATTATTTATATATTTGGATAGATTGATCAATTGATCAGTAAGTACTGTAATGAGTCATTGATGTATTTTTTGTATATACTCACTTTTACATGTCATGACTAATTTATGGAAAAGTTTGTATAACCGAAAAATATATAAAAATCCCTTATTTTTTTTTTGAAATTTCTTACTCTCTCTCTTTATTAAAACCGAACTTTTTTTTTATAAACATATTTCAAAACAGGAGAAAGTAATACAAAAGGAGATGAAAATAGAATGGTTATCTTATTTTTTCGTCTTCTTTTTTAAATCTATCTTCTCTCTGTCTAGTTCTTCTCTTTATTAGGTCTTCTTTTAAGCTCTTTTTCCTTACATCTTCTTTTAGGTATGTAGGTTGGGAGTGTGGTTGGAAGTGCGGGTTTGTGTGTGAGTTGGGAGTGTGAAAGTGGGGTTTGTATGTGGGTTTGGGTGAGCGATGTTTTATCTTATTTTTTGTCTTCTTTTTTTAGGTCTATCTTCTCTGGTCAAGCCACAGGACATTAGATTGCGAAAAAAAGAAGCAATGAAATTTCATTAGATCTTACAGACAGACAAAAGCTCTTTACCAGTTTTCTAGATGTGTGTAAAATGGCTTAGGAGACTTTAAAAGAGGTGTGTATTTTTTTATTTGCAAAGTGAGTAACTTCCTAAGCTAAAATTAGAACGGATAACTCATTGAGTCGGGGAGTTCACAAATTTTACTTAGGAGGGTACTGGATTTGTTTGTTTGGTTGGGTAAGGGTGAGCAAAGTGGGTAATTCCTATGAAATTACCTGCTTTTTCTTTTTTATTTTATTTTTATTTTTATTTTTTTATTCCCTTTTTTTCTTCTTTTTTTTATTTTTTTTTTATTTCTCTTGTTCACCTGATAATCAACTCAAGCAGACAACATCCTACTTTGTTATTGGTAAAGTCAGCTAATTCTAAAGGAGGAATTGGCTATGTCTTCTTTACCATTAAATAAAAATTTAGCACATTATTAATAATTTCTTTTTTCTAATAACAGATAATAGGCAATGCAGAGATTTACAATCACTGGAGTGCAGTTTATTATATATTATAAATTGGATAACCAACTCTAACTGTAACTTTTCTACTACGAAATAAATAGAGGATAATGAAAAAAGTGCAGCATAACATTAACGATCACGTGAATATATATTTGTAGTTCAGGCCGGGAATTACAGGTTCGGCCTGAATTACCGCAACGCATTAAAATCATCATCTGCGTTAAATTAACAGTATGAGGAAATTGATGCTGTTCTTGCTATATGTTTTTGATTTTGTTTATTTTTTTCCATTTATATAAAAAGTAACTTCCGAATGATAGTAATAATGCCAAATGAAGATCCGGTTATAAAAATGGGGATGATGAATCCATAATATTATTAGGAATTGAAGGATCAAATATTCTTGTCCATATGTATTCATATAACCATATATTTTCCAATTACGTGTGCTTTATGAAAAATTCTGGATTTTGGGATTTTTCCAAAAATAATTGGAATAGACCATTCTCCTTTCCCTCCAAAAATTATTACTTTTTTACCATCTAATCCTATTAAAATAATAAAAACGATTAAAAACTGAAAATCCAAAAAAAAATTATTTATTTGTTTTTATTTACAGTAATACATGTACATACCGAGTACAACAGATAAATCATATCTTTTCGAAGGTATTGAACCTGAAGTCTTCTTTAGTTAAATTATTAGTTGTTATAATTATTTATAGTAACAATAATGATATAATGATACTAATGATAATGATAATACATTTTGACTTACTTTTATTCGGGTAGCTTCCGATCTTTGGAAAAAGTGGAACCAAGATTCGTAAGTAAGTACGAATCTTGGTTTTATTTTTTTTTATTTTTTTTTAAAAAAATACTATGAACGGTTACTAATAACCGTTCTTTTCTTTTTTATAGGTTCGGGTGGACTTCCGACGAATGGAGGAACTAAGATTCGTAAGTACGAGTACGAATCTTGGTTTATTTTATTATTATTATTTTATTATTATGAACGGTTACTAACCGTTCTTTTCTTTTCTTTTTTATAGGTTTGGTGTCTCGGGTGGGCTTCCGAAGAACAGAAGTTTCGTAAGTAGAATCTTAGCTTGGTTTTTTTTTTTTTGCTTTTTTTTAATATTATGGAACGGTTACTAACCGTTCTTTTCTTTTTTTTATAGTTTCGGTGGGTTTCCAAAAGATCAAGATTCGTTAGCGTCGCCTCCAAAAAATGGTAGCCGGATCTAATTTGCCGGGTTACACGTGATTTCGGTTCATACCATTGTAAAAATAAAATAAAATAAAATATTATACACATCTCAATTGACAGAGTTTTATTAAAACACAACATACATATTTTATTTAAACATGTTTCTGAAAATTTAATACTATAATAAGAATACAAGGTATTGGGAATAGTAATCTTTCCAAATTTTTGGCCTAGTTCTACGATTTTCAAGTGCTATAATATCAATTATTCATTTTTTTTCCAATGAGTTAAGATTAGAACGAACATTTTTTAAATCATAAATGCCGTTTTGGCTTGTTACGAGATTCTTCTAATAACTCTTAATTAATATTTACATCAATAAAAAATTTAAAAATTAAATTTTTTATATCGTAATATTCGTGTATATCTTTTTTAGTATTTCCTGCAAGTAGTCTTTATATTATTTCAGTATTATTTCGGCAACGTAAACACTTTTTAAAGCAACACCTTTTATATTCAGAAACATTTAAAACATGACACCCTTTACAGACTTTTGTTTTGTTAACTTGACATAATCAAATAATAAACAGTTCATTAAAATGAAGAGAAAAAAAAACCTGATTCAAAATTGATCAAACGAAAAAGTTATGCCACGTATCGACGATACGTCAAAGCGACGCTAGCCGTGATCAGAAGTAATGTGATCTAAAAAGTATTTACTTATAAATTAATGAAACAATTATATGAAAATAAGAGATCAAAAAAAAGATATATATTCAACTGAAATTAGGATGTATGAAGAATAAGTTTTTTATAATTGATAATTTTGAGATGAAAATAATTTACTTAAAAAACTACGTTTTTGATTATTAAAGTAGGACCCAGAAATATATATAAAAGGGTCAGGTTTGAGTTTGCGTATTTTGAACTAAAAAAATAATGAAAATCTTTCCTTTTTTAGATAATTTTTGATAATGCCAGTCAGGATTTTATTTCCTATTATAGTAACTGACTGGCATTATCATAATTCCGGCCCTGAAAAAATGCGTACAGCTTCATAGTAAAAAATTTTTTTCATCACCTGACCCTATATATATATTTCTGGGTCCTATTAAAGTCCTCAAAATTGTAAAATACTTTTTATTTATATTTGGAATAACAACTTCAATAACAAATATATGAGATACTTCGTTTTTTTCTATGTTAGGCAATATTTGTTCATCTTTTATAATTTTATCTGAATAGGGTACTTCCGAATAGTTGAGAATAAACATCGCGGTTAATCATTACAATTAAGAATCCATCAGAGTTGATCCATCAAAGTTTATCCCGAAAGAAAATAAAGACAATGTCCAAGCGTTGAAATATTTGAGAAAAGGTTTGTTTGAGATATGATAAATTCATGCGTCTAATCATTAAATTATTTATTGTTTTAAAAACAATTTCATTGTCTAAGTTGAAATTTAAGAATAAAGAATAGTTTGCTGTCTAAATTCAAATCGTTTTGTCTAAAGTATCTTGAATATTATAATCTGCTAATGCATATGCTCTATTATGTGCAGCAAAAACACTATGTCTTCTTGAATAAAAGTCATAATAAAAATATTATTTTTTATCAATTTTAAATAAGTGGAAAAAAAAATGAATTCGTTAAATAAATAAATCCTTAAAGAGCGAAGTATGCGTTTAATTGTACGACTTTTTTTTCTAAGTTAGGATAATTTCAATTGTAAAAATAAAATTTTCTGAGATTTGCTAGTGGTTTAATAATTGAATAAACCGAAAACAATTATTATATTTTAAGGTAAACTTCCCTTTTTTCAAAAAAAAAAAAAAAAAAAACAGATAATTTATCCATGTTGTATATTATTGGTCGCATGAAAAGACAAACTTCAAAATCGATATCATAATAAAGAATATTTTCAAATATTCTTTATGTACCATAACTTCTTGTAAATTTAGAAGTTTTTAGTATTTTAACTAATTCTCAAATTTGAAAAAAAAAATAACGAATGAAGCTCCGATAATATTTAAATCATACAAAATAAATAACTTTGTCTTACGTAAAAATTTTTAATTCTCAGAAAAAAAAAAAATACTATTAATTAACTAATTTACTATAATAAATAATACTTCAAACTGAACATTAGGCAAAATAATATAAAAAATATTAAACCTAATTTTTTGTACTCTCTACCATCAGTTCCAATGGTAGGTATTCTAGGTAATATACTTGGTATTTCGATAATTTGTGGTATTTCAGTTTTTTTTCCACTTAAATCTAATAATTTAATTTAACGCCAATTTCTATTTTATATATGTTTCTTGTGATAAGCTATTTTTTTTTTTGTTATGATAGCATTTGTTAAAAGATGTTTTGAGTTTGCTTTAGAAGGTGATCCTGGTATCGATGTTATTTGTAATGAAAGTCCTGTAATTATATCAGTCACTAAAATCAATAAAATCACAGCACTACATTTAAATAAATGAATTATTCGTTTATTTTTTTTTTTTTTGAAAAAAACTAAAATATTGGATTTGAATAACTTACTTCTTTTGGGGAAATCCGCAATGTCATTTCTAACGAAGGTTTCTCAAAAGAATATAATTATATTCGGACTTAATCTATAAAATCTCCATTTTTTATTAACCACGATTCTCTTCCCAAGACTTGTTGTGGAATTCATGGAACATTTGTAGTGTTTGCAACACGAACCCAACCTCCTGTTATTAAACAATTTAATACGTTGATTCTTTAAAAATTTATATGATTCCAAATACAGTACAATCTACTACGTAAATTCTTACGTTACGAATATATATATACAGTATATATATACATGTATTAGTATTTGTATTAATTCAAAATCAAAATCATCTTAGATTTAAAAATTAAATTATTTACCTCATTGTCATCTAATTCTAATTCTTTATTTATAAACTTCCAACACAATATCTCTTTCAAATTCATATAATTGTTTTGTCGCTTCATCTCTTAATAAAAATTTTAATTGACTTCTCACTAAAGTTTAAAGCTTGATCCTTTAGGAAAGTCACCAGCCTTGAGCCTTCCATTTCATTCCATAGTCTTGAAAAATGATTTGACAATTATATAATAAATCTTTTCAAATGTTAGCTTAATTCTTTCGATGTTAAGAAAATCAAGTTAGCTTGTTAGTCAATCATCTATGACAGCTTAATACGATCCATTAGGTTACATTTTAAAATCCTATTAACATTATTATTTATAAATTATTGGTATGCACGACTGCACAAGTTCGTACAAAAATGAAAATATATCTCTCTTTGCATTTATAGGAAAGATAAACGGCGAGAAGAAAAAAGAATAATATATACATATAATGTATAAAAACATACATGAAAAAATGTTTAAAATAAATGTCACCTAACAGTTTTTCAAAACGGAAAAATTTTCTTAATTAATTCATAAGTTTTTTATTTTTTATTTTTAATTCACAAAATGAACCGAGTTAGAGTACAAATTACCGGACCCTACATACTAGGGCCGAAAGCAATTTACAAAACTGAAAACCAAACACGTCTGACCCTTACGGAGACAGTATAGGTGTCGTCGAAATTAATTACGGCATATGAAGCTTATACCGTAATACCATTCTACCACAATTATGCCGTAATTATTTAATAAATTATTGAATGCCGATCTTGATATTTTAAGGCCAAATTCCCATTTTGCCGTAATGCCGTAATTATATATACGGCATTTCGACGACACCTATAGGAGACAGGGTGTTGCCATCTTGATTGGAAAAAAATGTAAATGAACGGGAGTGAGGTGAACTCTCTTCCGGACAAAAAACCAAGGAACAAAACATTAAACGAACCGTGAATAAAAAATAAAAAGTCTATACTATAAGATTACAAATAAAAGAAGTATTATAAAATGAGACTTTATTATGAGGTAAAAGAAAAATAGAAAATTCTCTATGAGTAGTCCAATCTCCTCCATGTAAAATACTACTCTAGATATCCAGCGTATATAGGCAGATTCGTTAATACGGTTTACGCTGTTATTGTATCCTAAAACGTTGGATCGTGCGAGGTTGAGTACGATGTGTAATTATATTGTCTTCACGTAACATATCAGAATGTTCTATTTTCCCGAAGCGTTGATGATAAGTTTTTTTTTTGGGCATAGTAATACCCAGAGTTAATTCCCGTTCTTTAATGGCGTTGGCGTGATCTCGTCAAATATCATTATTGATGTCTTTCATAAGTGGAGTGATGAATTCTAATAAAGCACTATTAATTCATAAGTTTTCTATGCACAATTTTTTACTCCTATTGGATCATGTGACTTTTTTTGCCGCTCTTACCCATTTTTAAATTCTGTTTTCCTACCAAAGAAATATTTTTATGGTACAGACTATTTCTTTGATTATTACTTTATTATTCGTAGACTATTACATGATTTATTATTATTATTGTTGTTATTTTTTGTATGACATAAAGTGCATGTGATGAAAAAATTTCAATATTTTATTTCTTTTATTGTTAATCGGACTTTGAACTCAGAATCTGGAATCAGTGTGATTAACTAATTTTGGCAAATTCCGACTTTTTATTTCTACTTTTTACTTTGAAATTTTGACTGTATTCCCAAAAAGTATACCCGATTTTAGACCATTATCTCAATTCCCAACAGATACAATCGTGACTCAACAGAAGATTAGAAAATATACTTCATTCTGCCATCTTTAATTTACATAAACGATCTTCTAGGGTGATTTATATATGATTTAAGGTTAACTTTATTAAGCTATATATACGCGTCTTAAATCTGATTAAACTTTTATTATGAGGACGCGTTTTGCAAGTCAGGAGTATGTACTGATCTTACTGATGATTATTATGTTAAATTAAATTAGTCAGGAGTTGCAGACCATCAGTTCTCTTCGCATTATGGACTTTTTTGATGAAACCGACATCCGCCAATGGACGTGCAACAACGTTATAAAACACTATAAAGAAAAAAATGTCGAATATGATATAACAAATTTTCGATACCATGAATAAAGATATTAAACATGTGGTAAGGTCTAATAAAGATCCGTCGCGTAGAGAAAAGGCCCAAAGTATACTCAATAATTGGAAAGTATGTTAATATTGTTTTACTAGAAATATTGTGGTGAAAAGATATTTAAAGCATGGCCAAGCTGTACACTCTTAATCGATCAGTTATGAACTCTTAGTTCGTGCCTACTTTAACTTCCTTTGGCAGAAGCCGTGCACTCTTAGTCGATCAGTTATGAACTCTTAGTTCCCTGCCAAGAGCATCAAAGCCTTACACTCTTAGTCGATCGGTTATGAACTCTTAGTTCGATGCTCTAATGAATACCAATATTGTGCATTTAATTATTAACCTGTTGAACTTTGCTAATTATACTTCTTTTCACTTAGAGTTGGGTTAATGACTTCAAAAAATTCAATCGGGATAATAAAAAATTGCAAAAACTAATTTCAGAACGTAATAGTATTTTGATGGTAATAATCATTTAAACGTATTTATGTGAGAAAATGTACTTAACTATGCGAGAATTAATTGTTTTCTTTCCTTTCTTATTTCATAGGCAGTACAAAAAAATGAAATTATTAAATTTACAGTAGTGAGAGATAAGGTAGCACGTACAATGCTTACGCGACAATTAGAAAACTTCAAGGATGAGAGGCCAAAAAAGTGCATGGTATTTTAATAACTGAGAAATATCTAGATATTGCTTCTATATATAATATATCTAACATTATCTTTGTATATAGCATATAGAACAAGATCCAACTATTCAATCTCATCAAACTCCACAACCCATTGAAATCATTGAGATTTCAAGCGATGATGACAATTCGGATATATATTCTGACTTTGATGACGAAAATAACAATAAGGACGATTTAGAAATTGTGATCGAAGTTGGTCCAGATATTGCTCCCACCGAACTAAAGTCAAAGGGAACTATATCGGTATATCCGGCTGAAGATAGGCCAACAGACACTTGGGTGTTGCCCTCTGGAAAGTTTGTGGCTGATGCGATATGTGGTCCCCCTACCCTTCATAAATCCCAGTAAGTTCTATATCTTTATCTTTTTTTCATTGCTTAACATTCTAACTTATTTTTTATTTAACTTAGTCCATCTAATATGGGGATTGTACATCTTGGAGCAAAGGTCTAATGACCCGAGTGGATAGATAAGGAAGATTGGGAGTATCTACAAGAAAGTGTCGAATATCCCAATGATACTCTAAGCCCTGACATAGAAAAACTTTTCAGTGATTTATTAGAAACTGTAATTATTTAAGAAAACTTATTATAATAATGCACTAGTGTATATTTATTTTATTATTAACTAATTACAGAATTCCCTTGTGGAATATTCGGAATATCTCCACAATATAAGATTTGATACAAAAAATAAACAGATGGAATTCGCCATAAATATACTCTGGTGGTTGTAAGTATTTTTATATAATGGTACATTTAATGTTGTTAATACCTTAACCATTTGATTTATTTTAATTTTAAGCACGGACGTAGTGTTTAACCCATGTAGCGCATTCCATTGTCCTTGCGAACAAGAATCAATTTTAGGGTCACTTTTAATACATCCCATTTTGCAATATGTTTTAAAACATTCACAACAAATATGTATATATACCGTATGTTTCAGATTTCAATATAAAAATATATGTATATCTTTTTTTTTATTTGCTTGTAATAAATAATTAAAAGCTTTCTTTTAAATAGAGGCGAATTCTACCTTCAAACAAGCGCAAATCAGCGCTTAATTCAGCGTAAACTTAAGCTGGAAGATGGCAATCCATTAGGTCTTAAGATTGATAGAGTTTTCCAGTCTGCTGATAACAAGCCATTCGAATTTGGGATGATAGAATTGTCTGGTGGATATAATACTAATGATTTTCCTCGATATCTAAAAGATCATGTTCGTGGTTGCTGGGGTATGCAAAATAACATTGCAACAAAGCTTGCATTTGGTGATTATAAGAATATGAGGCAGCTTCGTGCGTGGTTCCTTCATACGCATGGTGGTAAGTGAAGTGTGAAATTTTGAGGTTTAACTTCTAAATAACTATTAAATCAAGTGTCTTTGTTTACTAATAGGACAAGACGTTCAAGTTTGGGGAATGGATATACCCGTCAGTTAAGAAAGTTTATTGTATGTTTCTCCTTGGCGCTTTTCGGTTCCCGATCAACTGGGAAGATCATCATGAACTTTTGCACGCACTACCAATATTATGGAATTTCGGTGTAAGTTCATGATTTTTTTTGTAAAGTATCTGAAGTATCTCATTTCTGATCTTTTTTTTTATACAGAAAGGTTTAAATGACACTGTTGATGTACTTGAAAATTTAAAGAAGTCACACAATCGCAATTCAATTATATCTAAAAAATCGGAATTAAAAACATATATTTATCATATTAAACAATCTCCAAAAAAACCTACTGGCAAAAAAGCGCATAATATCAATCCAATGAAGCGTGAAGAAATCAAGGATCCACCTTCACCTTCACCAATGCCAAAAAATGAATCTTTTTAATAGCCAGACAAAATAGACAGAATAATAATATATGAACATTAATTTGTTTAATTGCAAAGAAACAAATCTTACAATGTATACAAAACTTTTAGCTAAAAAAATAATAAATATGCATATATACGGTGTATTTTATTTTTATCGTAATTGAAGTGATTGAAGAGGTTAGCTAACGTTTAATTTGAAGAAATAATTCTAAATTTTTATAGGTTGTCGAGCTCTTTATCCCGCCCTATTTGTTAACCGATTTTGGCACATACGCATTTCTTTATTAATAATTTAAATATAAAATAATACAAATTACGTTACATTAAAGGATATATTTAGCAGTTAAACCTTATTTTCGGAGCGTAACGGAAGTTAGTTTTTTGTACTAGTTCTCTGTAATGTCTAAACGGAATAGTCTAACCAAAAAATTCTATATAATTATAGTGTATATATTAATTTCCGCAAAGTCTAACCTAAAGTCTAACTCAAAAATTCTAATCGAAAATAAAAATCTGACCAGAATATCCATGTAAAAATTTCGTATAGTAATTAATGTGTTAGATTCTGAAATGTCTAACCTAAATTGTCTATCCAAAAATTTTTAACCAACAATTGTTTAGCAAAAGAAACATATCTAACCGAAAAATATCACCAAAAAATCGTATGAATATACAAAAAAAAAATAATTAAATTAAAAAATTCGGGTCAGAAAAAAAAGTAAAAGAAAAAGGAGGAAACTAAAAAAAAGTTTAAATATTATATGTATTGTATTGAATGAAGTTTTTTTTTATATATTTTTAATACTTTATTATAAAAAAATCATTTTTTCAAGTTACTACGCAACATTTATACTTTATAAATGTAATCAATTATTTGAAAAAAATAAATAAAATGAGTGGCTAACAAACAAATAAAAAGTAATTTTAGGTATTTTTTTTTTTTTCATCAAATGAAGGTATGGTTAAAAAAAAATATACTGTAATAACAAATTTTATGAACCCCTAAAATTTCTGCAAAGTGTTAAACCACATTTAGTTATAATTTGAACAAATTTGGTAATTGTAGATAAATCTAAACTTAAAATTATGCGCGATTGGATTGTTATACGATAACTAATAGATCATGCTTATAAATATTTTATCATTAGTTAATTTATTAGATTTGGTTAACTTCTAATTTCTAATTTTGATATTCCTATTTAACACAAAATTTGAGACGTCATAGCGAATTTAAGAAAATAAATATAAACTCTCAAGTTTATTACACAATTTATGATTTTGCATAATAAAAAAAATATCACATTTTTTTGCAAATCTTTTTATATCAGAAAAAAAGTTTAATTTTGACGTACTGTACTTTTTTTATAAAAAAATAAAAAAAAAAAATTAGGAGAATTTTATAAGTATTAATCCTGCGACATGTCGAATTAGTAAATTCTATTTTTCTTCCAATTTATTTTGTAATATAGCAGAAACAATATAAATCAAGTATGATAACGTTACTATAAAGAGTTATGGTGTAAAACGTACGACTTGTTTAACTTTAAACCATGGTTTCTTATTAGTCAACAGTGAATTTTTTTTTTAATTCTAATGTTATAATTGCTTAATTTAAAGCACAAACTACTATATTAAACAGAGGGTTATATTTAATGCACCAGATGATTTAATTCAAAATTAGTTAAACGTAATATAAATTCAATATAAATAATTATGCATGTTCATCATCAAGATTTTCAAATTACATAATCTCTTTTTACAGTTATCACGTGATTCAGAAATTCTTTTTTATTTATGCACCTGCAGCCCCTGCAGCACAATTTCATCACATTAATCATCACTCTATTTATCACCTGTACCGTACAATATTTATTTATATTATGCATGAGCGTGACAATTAACTCGTTTGCTTTGTTTACGAAATTTTGTGAAACTCGCTCCGGAATTTGTTAATCCATAAATTTCATTTTTAACAAAAAAAATTTAAAGTACGCTACTTAGACAAAAGTATTGGACCTTCTATTTTGTTAATTACTCAAACAATAATACTTGAAATTTTAATATGTTGACGTAGACCCTACAAAACATATATTCAAAATTTCGTAGTTCTAGCCTTCATATAACTATGTTAATTAAAAAAGAATTTGGTAATTGTTACATTGGATCCTCTATTTTTGTTAATTACTTAAAATTACACATAATAAAAATGCTTGAAATTTTAATGTATTAATTAAAAAAATTTGAAAAATTTCTGATTGATCGTTAAATTAAAAAAAAAAAAAGAATAATTTTTTTTATAGATACTTGTTAATTTCTAAAAAGACAAAAATATAAAAAATTCATATATTTTATCCTTTAAAACTTTGGCTTTCAAACAATATAAAATTAAAGCATTTTATTATATAAAATTTTTGATAAATATAAGCGTACAGTACTGTTATTATTTTTAAAAATTAATTTTCTCCCAATTTTTTTTTATATTTTTAATTAATGAAAAAATTACATTTTATCTTTTTTTTTTATTCATTTTATTAATTGTTTTTTTATTATTTAATAAAATTTGTGCAAAAAAATGCAATTATCATAAATAATTTTTTGGGTAAAAAAAAAACCAAATTCGGAAATTTTTTCATCTAAAAAAGCATTTTTTTAATGAAAAGATAAAAAAATCAAAAATCAGAAAAAAAAAAGTATTTATTAGAAATAATTGTCATTTTTTTTTTTAGTGGAATAACCTACCGATCATCCGCAGCAAAGTAGTATCAGAACGTGGGTGCGACCTACTGAAAAAAATTTTAAACAATTAATAATTAATAAATGTATTACTAATCAGTCAATAAATACCGATTATCTTGAATTTTAAGGTAATTAATTAACTAAAATAATAAAATAAGAAGTTAAATTATTGACTAGAATTATTTGAATAAATAATGATGAAAAAAATTAACTGCAGCAAGTACTTTGCATTAAATGAATGATTTTTATAATTTGCATTTTCCATGTAATACCAAAAATCACCCGATAGTCTAATAAGTTGAATAAAAATCTACATTCGCGAAACTTAAATTATTCAACACGAATATATAGAAAGTAAGTAACGGAAATTGGCAAAGTAACGTAAAGTCACATGATCTATTACGTTACTTCTCTTATATAAGGTACGGAACGTAAATTTTTTTGGTAAATACTTAACGCTACTCCTTATATTTGCCACATAATCACGTCATGTTTATTTGTTTATCAAATCTCGTTTTCAATATAGGTTCATTTCCTCGGTTCCTTCTGGTTCTGCAATTAAGGTTCAGTTGTTTTTTTATTTCATTTCAGTTCTAAAATTAATAAAGGTATTTTTTTTATTTTTTTTTTATTTTTTTTTATTTCGTTTTTATCTTATATTTCGTTTCTTACTAATTTCATTTTTTTTTACTTTATGGTTTATTTTT